AGTGTATCATAGTGACATAAAAATAAACAGAAAATTCGAAAAGACTTATTTGCCAACCAAATACTTTGTTTATAAAGTTCAATAACTAAAATTTAATTATTTTCATGTTTATTGAGAAGGATCGTGCAACAACTGAGTTCTGATTATTTATTTCCTTGGATGAACATATGAACAGTTGATTAACAATAATCAATAACCAAAATAATATTTTAATAAAGAAACATAGGTGAAAAAAAAATTGGTATCAACATAAATTATGTCAATATATTAAACTTCATTTTATGAGATTGATTTAAAAAAAAAAAAAATTAGAAATAAACAAACTATACCTGAGAAATATCTTCATCAAATGAGGTAGAACTTTCCTGGTAACATTCACTTTGGTAGACAAAAAGACTAAAAGAAAAGAAAGATTTTAACTATCATGCATAATTTTTCTTTAATGAATTAATTTAACTCTCTTTTCCTCCCAATTTATTCAAAAACTATTCTTTTCCTTTTATTCTAATAGCAATTCATTTATTTTCTAAGCATTAAGTTGATTATAATTTATATTTTTCTTTCAATTTTATATTTCATTTTTATTCTTTATTATTAAATCACAGTAACCCCCACACCAGGAAAGTATTATTTCCCTGTTTTATTTGTTGTAAATGTAAATGGAGTTTGAACATTATTATAAATGTCCTTTATTGTGAGATTGGAATATTTCTTAATAAGTAAACAAACAAAAATTATTTATTATAAAGAAAACGATAATTAATTTAAATTCTTTGATCTTTTATTTAACTCTATTTTATAATATTCTTAATACAACACTATTCAGTTATTTAGTGATAAACCACATCATAGGGGTGGAGGGATGGGCGAGAATATTGTTTAACTTCCCCAATAATTTGAATTTTCAAAAATTAAAATAACAAATAATCTACATGAATGAATAAAATATTTCAACTAAAATCCATTAAGAAAATAGGAAGCTAGCTGACACGACTCTTGCTCAATTTCGAATTTTTCAGCCCTTATTCTTTCCACTTGATTCCAATGTTTGTTGATTCCTTTTAGCCTCTGATAGAGTTTGATTTGAAACAGAATACAGTCCGAATCACAGCTTCTTATATGTCTCTTATTCACCAGCACGTGGTCAATTAGGTTTTCATATCTTACGGGCTTACCTAGCATCATGGGCAGATCTACGGGGGCTTTCGGGCTGAAGCCCCCCCAAAATGGAAAAATACAACGATGTTTTATGGGAAAATTTTTTTTTAAAATACCTCTTAAAGTATTATTGTTCGTGCAATTACATTTAAAATGACTTAAGGAATCACTTAAACACCATTTCATATAGGTAGTTAGTTTATTTCTGTTTTCCCAAGGTAATTATCGTTATTTTTATTTTAAAAAAAGGTTTCGGGCTGAAGCCCTCCCCCCAAAAATTAAATCCTGGATCCGCTAATGCCTAGCATAATTGTGGATGTCATACTTTATTGTTGATATCAAATAAATATTTTTTATAGGCAATATTTTAATATACATCCTTACATAACTAGTCAGACTGTGAAAACATTGTGTTTTTATTTCGAGGTTGTAGATATTAAAATTCAAAAATATTTTTTAGTTTTTAACATTATTCATTTTTAGCTGAAAAAGTTGTAAAAATGTGCCTATGGAGGGAGGCCGTCCCTCTGCCCCCATGTTTAATATATATAAATGAATATTCAGTTGTTATGTTTAGATATCTTTGAATACATTCGAAGGCATAAAAAAAAAATAATAAAAACACTTACAACTACATAAACATATAAATTTATTTTGGAATATTCAGTATTATACCGTTTTCATTTCCCAATAATTATGTTGACTTTATAGATATATTATTTTACATAATGTTTACACAAATTATAAATTTCCACCATTTTTTTCCATCGCCCCCAAACAAAATGGATAGTTTGCGCCTAAGAACTAAATAAAGTTTACTTCAGTTCATTCACTAGTAAAACAAACTTAACCAACCTTAAATTTGTTTACTCCCCTCTTTTTAAAAATACTACAATCAAAAGTAGAATTAGAAAAATCATAGATCATTTAAAGATACACTTGCGGTGGTCTGATCCATGTTTTTCTCCTTTTCCCCTGGATTGAAATTTCTTCATTCCAAAAAATCACAATCCTGTCAAAATGAGCCCCCTCAAAAAATCAAATTTCAGTAAAAATGTACCCTCTCCCTAAAAATTTATATGGCGCAACTTGTGCCATAAAATCCCCCTGTGGACACCCCTACCTATAAGAAATGGTGTTTAAGTGATTCTTGAAGTCTTATTAAATTAATTAACGAACAATAATACTTTTCAGAGATATTTTTTTTCGTAAGACATGAATATATTTTACCATTGGAGGTAAAGGAAGGCCTCTGTTCTCCCCCTCTCCCGTACATCTGCCTATTTATAGTAACATTTACTTATATAATGATGTAGAGATGGTTGACCGTTGATATAATATGAGAAGGAGTTGATCGGGGGGTGCGGTCAAATTAAAACTAAATTAAACAAGTAGAATTATTTAATTTTTGCCGACGTTTCGACCCACTTTGCAGATCTTCATCAGGGCCTAGGATGAAGGGGGCGGGGTGGCCGAATAGGCTAAAGCGTGTGTAACAGCACCGCTAGTTGCCTGGCAACCGGATAACAGAGATTTGAGATGATATAAAAAGTACGAGTTCGCGTCCCGGTGCCGGAGGGGATTTTAAAATTTCCCCGCCCTCACCCCCCGGCCCGGGAAAGTATAGCCTAAAAGGCGAGGTAGGGAAGAACAAAAATCCTAGGCCCTGATGAAGACCTGCAAAGTGGGTCGAAATGTCGGCAAAAATTAAATAATTCTACTTGTTTAATTTAGTATTAATTTGACCCCATCCCCCAAACAACTCCTTCTCATTTACTTATATAATTTATACTGAAGCATTCTTCTGCTATGAATATCCTTTTTAGGCCCTGGCTCAATTGCTAATTTGCATTTATTGTTGTCAGGCACCACTTTTTAGTACCAAAACTTTGATCTCATTAATGTTTCATGTTTTGAGCACCTGCATCTGCGTTGAAGGCTCTGTTGCTAATCAGGTAATTTCATCACTTTTCGCGTTTTCAAGGTGATTAAAGATAAATGAAACATGGGAAATATTTCAAATCTGAGACAATTGTTACCAACGAGTACTTTTAGTGAGCTGATAATCTTCCAATTCTCTCTAAGAGACTTCACAAGTACTTCATATTTTGTTAATTTACTTGTACACCCACTTCTGCTCCTTTTCTCATTACTCTATAGCCTTGTTGTAGTGGGCTTGCTCTCAACAAATTGTGCAAACTTGCAGCATTATATTCAACACCATTCAATTCAGTGCCGGCATTAGGGCGGGGCAACCAGGGTCCTGATTGGAGGAGTCCCCGGCCGATCTTCAAGGGCGCTTACCACTTGTTATAAATTAAAAAAAAAATACAAAACCTCTTAAAATAATTAATTTCAGCCTATCAACCTAAATAAAGCAACCTATTAGAGAAATATCAAATGAAATAAAATTCAAATATACGTAGTGTAAAACAGCTTAATAAATAAATTAATTTAGTTGCTAAGTATCTGATTGTTAAAGTGCCTGAACAACTGACCTTCTTAATCGGAAATAACAGCTTCACTCATGTAAATCAACAACAGCCAATTATTACTTTAAATGTTTTAATTAATAAAAATGAATAAATCAGAGGAGATCCATGGAAAATTAAAAATAATTAACAAAATATACTAAAAATTCTGGTAAGGGGAATTCATCACATAATTTTCACTTACGTTTTTATTTATCAGTAATAGGTATTTTCAGAGAAAGAGATGTGAAAGTAAAAGTTGCAGACAGTACAAAATATTATTTTAAACAATTAATTACCATAGCCTTTTTTACTGCAATGTATTCATTTTTTTTTTCACAAACCATTTTCTTTAATGACTGTATATTTTAATTATTTATTTGATTATTACAAATAATTAAGGAAAACAATACATTTTTAGTTCGAGAAGAGTGCCTCTGATAAAGAAGACTGCTACATTTATTTATATTTTATTATGAGCATTTATATTTGTTAAAGTACTGGTATATAATAAATTTTAATTTATATATTTCTGTAATTTATACTATTAAATAATACCAATAATAAAAATTTATACTAATAAACACTAGCATTTATCAAAACTGCACATGCAAATGTATACAATATTATTTTTATAACCCATATTTTATTAAGCACTTCTTACGTATAGGAGCCTATTCAAACTATTCAGCCAAAATCAGGTGTGCTCGGGTTTCTTCAGTTCTTTATTATGATCCATTATTAGAATAAGGAGAAATCTTTTTTTAGTTAATTATCAAATTATTTTATATTTAACCATTTTTTATAGCAGGTTACATTGTAAAATGGTTAATTCTTTCAACTAAAAAAAATCAAAGATACTTAAGAGGAAGAAAATTTAAATTTAAGTCCTGTTAGAGAACATCATTGAGAATAAATTTAATCAAAATCATTAAGAGCCATTTTCGAGGAAATTGTAAAATTGATGATATACAGTAGTTTAGTAGCAGGTTAGCTTATTTTGAGGAAAAAATTGCAGTAACATCCCAGGCATATACTTACCTTAAATACCTAATTTCAGTTTCTTACAACGTTTTGTTTTTGAGCTAGGCTGTTCATCACATACACACATACCATTTTGCGAGACTTGGTTATTTAAACTCAAGGACCTCAAAAAGTGTACTTCCATTGAAAACTCAGATTCAAAATTTTTCATGATCGCAATACTTTTCTTTAATATATATTTCATATATGGTAAGTGAAAGTAAAAAATCTTGAAAAAAAAAGCTTTTGTTTTCTTAAAACTCATGAATCATTGTTTACATGTTTAAATAAGCAGACTATTTAGTTTATAATGAATTTTTAAGATGAGTTTATAATGAAAATAGCAAATTACTTCAAAAGTATGATATATTAGAATAAATTAGGTACATAATATAGGTACATACATTATATCAATTACAATAATAAATGAAATCACATGTAGCAAGGTAGAAAATGACAAGGAACAAAGTTCAAAATAAATCAATTTTTATAAAAATTTAAAAAATGAAATTTGTATGACAAAACACAAGTAGAAAGTTATAGAAAATGAGTATAATTTTCTTATGGTGATTGTTTAATAGGGAATTAACAGTTCTTTAAATATTTTAAATATTAAGTACTTGAATAAAGACTAGATTTAAGTTTTCTTAAGCTTTTTCCCCCACTTTTCAACAATTTATTTACTATAAAGTAGTCTGGAGCTTCCCAGGTCCCAATTAAACGCTTTCTACTGGAAAAACTAAATTAATTAAAATCAATTTTATTAGGCCAGTTAATTCAACCAACACCTTTGAATTATAATCACTTGATTATAATCATTAGTATACCAGCAAAAGGTTATTAAAGCGGGAGTTTGTTTTTAATATAAAAATGCTCCAGAAATATACAGAAAAAAAGAATTACGTTATTCAACATGTTCCTATTAAAAAAATTAAAATAAATAAATAAACAGAATACTTTAATTATATTTGCTCCTTGTCAATATTTATTGTGATATAGGGATATGCTTGCATACATTATCGAGATATTAAATACATAGTGATATGGGGATAAATATTTATACATAAAAGTATTTAAAATGACCAAAATAAATTAGAATATATAAACAAACATTATACATAATGACTTCACATAAAATAGATGAAAGGTTAAATAATAAATATCGGATCTATACATAAATGTAACATTGTTAATATTTTTTAAATAAAATAAATAAATGTTAACAAGAATATATAAAAGATACCAAATAAATTTAGAACTATTAACATTAAAGAAAAAATATTATTAATATTTAATGTGTGTTATAAACACATTTTAACCACTTAAAAACACACCGGTAACTGTGAGATAGATATGGAAAATATAGACATTGACATGCAAATTGAACACTTGAAGCTTGCATGTAAGATAATTATTCATAAATATATATTTTATGTTGTTGAGAATGAGTGAGAAATAGTTATTTTAATAAGACACTGAAGAATTACAACTAACATATAGTGATAATTAATCGCATTTTAACAGTTGTGAAATATCATTTGGAAAGAGAATAACAATCCTAAAATTTATACCAAAAAATTTATATTTTGTTTAAAATATTTGATATGTAAATGTCACAAATATGTGATATACACCACACTAAATAGCACACTTCAAATTTTATGTAGAAAAATCACAATTTCATAATTCACAGTAGCATTTATAAAAAATATCCTGTATTTTTATAGTAGATAAATTAATATGAAAATCTCTTTTAGCAAAATTTATATTTTCACATGCATAACAAACATCATACATTTGAAACACAAACACTACTAAATTACATAAAAATTTCAGTGCATTCTCCTACAATTTGTCATTGTTAGTGCGTGTATTTAGTAGTGAAAGTAATAAATTAAAAAGGTTTGTGTTTAAGGAGTGACATGTGTAATTGTGTTCCAAATTGAATGGATAACTACGTGTTAGTGCTAATCTATTTTATTTTTATGATTCATTAATAAAATGAAAACAAATACACATTGAATAAAATTAAAAATAGCATTGGTCAATTATCTGGTCTTGTAAGCATAATATGATTCCGAAATTTCCTTCCTCTTAATTAGATTTTAATTTTTTTTATTAATCCTCGTTTTAATATAATTAAAGTAATTATTAGGACAATGCTGTTTTTAAGTTTTACAATAATAATAATTTTAGAAACTTATTTTCATGGCCATAACCTTATTAATGCTAAATAATTATAAACATACTTTTTCCAAAAGATTGCCGACGACTATCAAACAGGTGCATATATCCTGTTACTATATACCATAATCCATATTGAGAGTGGGTGAAACATAAGACTTGTTAGAACAAAATTGGTATACAATTTTAATATTATAAGGTATAAGTACATTAATTTTGTGCTTTATGATATGCAAATTTAGAAAAGTAAATCCCTTACATATTAAAGAGATACTATAAAAAGGAAATTCAGTAATAACTGACCTTCCCATATTAGAATTGTCTTAAAAATTGATTAAGTGTTAATTACACATACACAATATAGCCTTAATAGTATAGTATTACTATGAAATTTTCACAGTAATTATTAAGACTCTGAAGATACTAGTATAAGAGAATAATTCAAAACAATTTTTTTGAGCTCTTAAGGTCAGTTTTAGTCTTACAAGCCCCCTATTTATTCTTGTAACCGAATGATGAAAACATTTTAGTCAATGTTACTGACTTTTAAAATTGAATATCAACTAATCGTTAATAGCAAACCTTACATCACAAAGCTGTAATAAGTTTCATTCATAAGATTAGTTTAGCATTATTTATATATTAAATTACATCCTAAACAAATTCCTTTATCAAGCAAAAAGGGTCAAGATTTTTAAATTCAGAAAATATTTATACTTATTTTTACATATAATTTAAACATTAAATTTTCAAAAGTTAAGTAAAGTATAAGAAAATCCATTATTAAGAAAAACTTTCTCACGTTCAGAATACTCATTTAATCACTATTCTAAAATGAAAATAAGAATTTTGTTCTAAAGTTTAATGTAAAATAAATAAATAATTATTAAAAAATATTACTGAAAAAACTTACTAACATAGCTTCGACCAGTGATGGCGAACCTAAGAGAGGGGATAAAAGGTGACACATCATACCTATAAGCACATATTGTACTTAAATAAAATGGTTTGGAAGCAACTTGATGAATTTTAATTTCATATTTTTTAACCTAATCCCAAGTGTTTTGTTTCAGATTCAGATTTGGATCCTTGGGTAGTGGAAAATCAAAAAGTAATTATTTAGAAAATGACTGAAATATCATGACAGGAAACTTGGAACAGATTATTAGATAAGGTACCCTGAAAAATCAGTCAATAGATATATATTCACAATTTTCCCGTATTAATACTTTATTTATGTCTAATTGGGTTTGAAATATCAAATGAAGATTTAAAAAATACAATATAGCAATAAAAATTCAATAATTTGTTCTTTCCTTTTTAATATCTACTCTTTTTGATAGATAAATAAAAAAATAATTTTTCATACTAAGATCACTAATGTCGGCAAGTTATAGATTTTTCTATATCTGATATAGTATTTAAATTTAACAAACTTCGTTTTTCTTCATAAATTAATCACAGACAGTTCGTCATCACTGGCATGAAACTTCACAAAGCTTTAAGTTTTTAGATACAACTTTAATAAAAATTACTTTTTAAGAAAATATATTTAATATATGAAAATATACAATTGATGTAATATTAGAAAGGAATCAGGATGAAATTAGATTATTATTATTATTATCACCTAATTAGAATAAAAAAAGGTCATTAATTATCAAAAACTACAAATTTTATAACTGATTAAAGTTATTAATTATTAAAACCAGAGACGGGACTATTCACACAAGGAATTAGCGACAATACGTTAAGGGAAAATAATTTTAATACATTATAGCTGAATCCTAAAGGAAAGCTAACACTGACTTTACTAATGTTCAGTGTTTCAGGTATATAGTTTTCAATATCATGAAAATCGTATATACCTTTAAACAAATATTGCTAGCTACACGTACAACAAGCGCATTACTCTTGTAATAAGCCTATAAATATATATTTATACATCTTTCATGGGCATAACATTAAGTAACACCATTCTACAGCAAATGAATTGAAACAAAAAAAAAAATGTCTGTATCTAATACTATTTACATAATACTAAATTAAGCAACTTATTGTGAACAGTGTATTCCATAGGTTACTTCAACTGTGCTATTAGCTTACATAAGAATTACTTATAAGTATTTAAATATCAAAAACATTTATCACAATAAATTAACACACTAAATTGGGATCTTACATACAATAATACTAACAGTGTTAAATACTTACAAAAACATACATCCAAACGTTGTTACCAATTGCTACTCAGGTACATTATATAAATTTATAATGCTTACCAGAGTAAAAAAACAAAAAAAAAAAAAACTATACATATTAACAAAATATTAAATTATAAATCTGTATATTTGATAAGTAAGCCATTTCAACTAAACCTATTAGTAAGCAAATGAAAAAAAAAATCTTAGAAATTACTTTTGTACTTATTTGACTATATTCTATTTAATAATCAATATAGTGAATAACAAAGATAAAAAATAAAATTGAAAATCTTGAAATTAAATGTGGCAACCAACATCATACACATAATTGGCATTCATTAATAATATTCCAAAATATTAGTTTAGTCTTAATTTGAATCTCAAAAATATTTCTTTCTTTTTTTTCACTCAGGTTTAAAGATATTTATAAGAACACACAACACACATTTGACTTATATTTCTAAAAGATTTTGAGATGACTAAGAAATACAAAATTTCAATCACATATGAAATTTAACTTAAATTATTGTCATATTCATATGATGTGTTAATTTTTTTTTTCTTTTTCTTTTGGTGTTTTTTCAATACCAATATGCATAAAATAGATAGTTACAAATCACATCATGAAAAATTTGGTAATTTCCAAACAGAACCATTTGTTACAAACATCTATCAGCAAACATCAATTGAAATTTGTTTTAAAATTGATTTATATCGTTTTGTTTCACATTAATCAATGTATTAATAATTTAACATGCAAACATCTCGACTGACTTTTTAAACCAAATCCATGTACAACTATGGTTCTACAATGAAGTAGATTGGTTAATAATAAGTAAAGAATGGATAGATAATAAAATAAGATGTTACATTTACATATCATGCAAGATATTCCAACTTCAATTACTTAATAGTAATTTCGAATAAAAGCACTCAATATTAATTAACTTCTACAAGTAAATAGATATACAATGGTGCAAGAGATACTATAAACCAATTGTATTAGGTGCTGACTCATTTAAATAATAATTATAAAAAAATACTATTTGTAAATGTTATCCAAACTAATTATTTCTTTTTAATTTCTTAAAAAATTGTAGGATCAACATGTAGTAATACCAAAAGAAAACATAAAAATATAATAAAATATCTAATTAATAGGCAGAAGGTGATGTAACAGTGCTTGTAGTTTTAATACGTTCGCCCTGAGCTATTTCCCCATTCTGTATGCTTTTAAACTTCAAGAAACAGTCGTAAGCATAAGCAATCATATTTATATATCCAAAAAACTGGAAAAAAAATAATAAAGATGAATAACTTAACAAAAATAATATTTAAAAACAGTCAATTATTTTTTTTTACTGAATATTGATATTAATAATAAATATTCAACATGGAATAAGTTGGAGTAAATACTTAAGATACCAAGTAGGCACTAACAATTGTTCATCCAAATGAAATAAACGCATGATAGTTTGTTGACGGTCTTGGAGGTTTTATTTATTTTTGTACACATGTTTCTAGGTCATTAAACGTGTTGCTTTTTTATTTATACTTAAATAATTAGATGGGCTATTATTAGATCTACATTCCTAATAATCAGGAAATTTTTTTAAGTGATATTTTGTTTTAATAGTTTTCAAATGCTGTTTAATTTTTAAAGTAACTAAATAAAATAAAAAATGTTCCTCCCCATCCAAGTTCCAAATAAAAATCAAAGAGTTCAAATGTTTAAGTGTTTAACTGTTTGATACATATATAATATAATGATTAGTGCTTTGTGCCTAGCTTTATATGCTTTATACCCAGCCTCTATAAAGTGGGTACCCTTAATTAAAATAATTAATTAAGGAGGAAAACCTGGTGGTTGAGCGTGATCTCGGTCAAATCACCTCCTTGCACAACTGTAAACCAATAAACAGTGCTTTTCTTAAATAGAAAAGAACCCAAATAGAACACCCCTAAATAGAACCCAAGACCCTTCATGGGTTGTAGTGATACAGGGTATTTAATTTTTTTTTTTAGTGCTTTATAAATCACATAACTTTTAAAAACTGTATAATGATGAAAATTTAACAAAACTTGGTTATTCACAAATAGTCAATATACTGAAAATATTTTATTAAATTGAAGTCCAAATAAAACTTATTTAAAACCATTATGACTAGGAGAAAAGTGATAAATTACTGTTTTCAAATTTTGTAGTAAGTTATAATAAGTTCATAGAAAATCTAGGCAGTAAAAATGCACATTTATTTGTTTCTTTAATCTTAAAAACATTTCATCTTATGATAAAGATAAAAAGAGTTGTACAATTGAAGAACAATGAAATGTATTATAATTGACAAACTACTTTATAATACTTCTACATACTTAATAAAACCCATTAGGACTTACACATCACAAATCTATGTGATAGCTAAAAGACTCAGATTAAAAAATACATACTTTCCAATCAAAAACTTTACGACTCATCACTCATTCATCCTTTTATGTCAGTAACAAACCGTTATATACACACTTTCACATACTGAGATACAAGACCACTTTCGCTGCAAAATTTAGTACAGAATAAATTAATAAAACAATCAAAACTTACTGATACAACTCCAAAAACTGCTCCTGAACCCATATATGCAGCACAAAATGTTGACCCAATCATGAGGAAAAAAGCCCATATACCGGTGTAAATCAATTCCTGTAATAATAAGTGGGTAATAATAAGTGGAATAATTAATTTGACCAAATATTGGATATAAATCAATTATGAAGATATTAATTTCCTGTTCTTATAAATAAATGAATTAAGTTATATATATATATATATATATATATATATATATATATATATATATATATATATATATATATAATATATATATATATATATATATATATTTCATTTAGTAAATAGGTTAATTTTTTATTATTCATCTGTGGTTTCTATGGACAGCAACTTGTACACAACCTACAACCTAAAACTAATAAATAAAAATAAAAGTTCAAGATTTAAATAAATCATCTAAATTATATTGAATTTTGTCAAATACATTATATTTGATCAAAGTTTACTATTAGTAGTACTGAGTAGTAAAAAAAGTTTTTGTAAATAAAATGTTCCATTTAAATTTCAAAATAAAATCTACACATTAAAATTATTCTTCAAAATATATAGCTGCACCTAATTCATAAGATAATTTGATCACAAAATCGAGAAAAAAGGTGGCCTTAAAAAATATTGGGCTATTTGGCCTGTATATTATATAACTTTACTATTTTGAGATGTTGGGGTGGAGGTCATGTTAAACAGTCTAATGTTTTTGTAGGCCATCCTTTCTATCGTTTTTATGGTCCAATTATCTTACAATTCAAGCAGAAAGCAAATGGGCATTCATGAGTTTTATGTAACTTATTAAATAGACAAAGTTTACCGATATCCAGATTAAAAATGCCCCATTTCTGAGAATTTTCATAAATAAAGAAGTTGTATGTTATGATCAGAAGAAGCCATTCACGAAGTTATAGATATATATTAATAATTTGATAAAAAAGGGTCTGCATCGTGGACTTTAGCGTTTAGTTTTTGAAACAAAACTCCTCACATTCTGATTTGAAATCCCCATTAAAAAAAAACCCGTTGTTTCTGAGTGTCAGTATTTCAAAAATGCATCATTAAATGGAAAATACTATATTCAGACAGTATAATGGATCAGTATAAGAACTTAACATTTTCTGTTATTATTTTTTTTTTTTTTTTTCATGCCTAAGACAAAGATGAACTGCACCATGTAATTTTTTTTTTTTTTGTCATATTTCAGCTAAATAGTCTTTTAGAGACAATTAAAGACTTTGTTTTCCTCTTCATAAGCTTACTCTGCATATACTTAAGCAGGCCAAAGTAACGCCTATTTGCTGCTGCAGTTGTTCGCTTCTTTTCGGCAGAAATATTATTTGATACATTCAACTGCACTCCAAGGTATGCGAATTCAGTGACTCTTTCAAACGTACAGGTCCCAATTGTCAACTTTGGGTTCTTGTTTCCCATGTTCCTGTGCCTACTTCTGAGAACATATACTTAGTTTCCTCCTCATTCACAATCCACATAGCCAAGCAGTTGAACTAATCTAGACAAGAATATGCCTGTCATTTGAATGCCTGAGTCTCGGGCTACTTTCTCCAAAGCCAAATTGAAGATCAAGCATGCCATCGCATCTCCTTGCCTTATTCCCTCGTCAGAATGAAAATCTAAATGAACACGAAATTGGCATCGTACATTTTCCATGGTAATTTTATCTAATCTAATTAGCTTCAAAGGGATTCTGAATTCCTCCATCACTTCATAAAGTTTCTGTCATTTGTCACTATCATAAGCGCACTTGAAATCGACTAAGAGGTGGTGAGTTGGCAATTTATATTCATGCCTCTTTTCAAGGATCGTGCGGAGTGTAAAAATTTGATCTGTAGTAAATGGTATCCTCCCATTACACGCTCAGCGAATGGTGTCAGTCAATTAAAAAGGATGTTTGAGACTACTTTGTAAGGCATGAGAGCAGCGATATGCCACAATAGCTTGAGCACTCCAACTGGTATCCTTTTTAGTGCACTGGACAGATCATTACTTCATGGTTGTGGCATAATCCTGTATGTATAAAACCCTAAGAGTACCAGTCTTGACTTAGGCATCACAAACTTGGACTCTGACAAAGAGATATGAGAGGGGTCTTCTTATATTTGAGAGAAAGATCTTAAGAAGAATATTTGGCTCCGTGAAGGGTGGAGATTTGTGGAGAAGTAAGAAGAATCGGGAACTCTACAATCTGTTTATCTATCTTGGTGTCATTAGTCTCATCAGCTTAGGAGATTGAGCTATGCGGGACATGTTGCAAGGATGGGCGAAGTAGAGATTCCAAAGAGATTTCAAGTGAAGTACTACATCACACTAGAAGAGCTGGATGGCCGAAACAACGACGGATGGATAACGTGGGGACTGATGCAAGTAGCCTACTTGGGACCAGAACTGACCTGAGAACGACTGCACAAGATAGAGCTCATTGGCAGAGGATTACTGAGGAGGGCAAGACTCACCACGGATTGTAGCGCCACGTAAGTAAGTCTTTTAGAGTCATTTTCATAACAGACGTGCAGACATTTATTTTTAACTTGACAGCTTTTACCTATTTTAAAAAATAGGTATCAGTTAGGTAAAATCAATCAAATTTATTTCAGTAGGACCAATAACTTTGTTAATAATGATCAACTCATTACAGAAGATACAAATTCAGTTTCAAGAAAGTAGAGGAAGCATTGAATCCTACAAAGATAAGAAGAGCTCTAGTATCAACATCGTAGCTATCAAGTGAGTTCCTTTGGTACTCTTCTATTTTCCTTTCTTGGCAGCAGTCTTTCCACTTTGATGCATTTCAAATTTTTTTAGAAAACAATTTTCTACTTTATAGCTTAATTTTCTTTTCCAGGCAAACAAATTGAAAGTCATAGTAGGTTATATTCTTTGTTGAATTTGGTGAACATAAGTGCCTCTGGTCTACCTGGTAGTACAACTCTAACTTCATAAAGCCTAAAAACATTCATTTTTGTTATATAGGCTCAAGATAGAATCTGCTAATATTTTGTTAACAATAATGGCTCCATCTGTAACAAGAAGTCTCTATTGAATAAAATATTTCTCTCACATCTTGGTAGCATGGAGCGGCGCAAGTTATGTCATCAAAATTTTTACAAGGTTATAATTTTTGAGGGGGGATGAAGGTATTTTCAAAACAGGGAACAGAGGAGAGTGAGAAACAGACCACACCAAATGTAATTGTAAGTAAACAGTATTTAAAATAATTCTACTTTCACTATAACCATTTTTAAAGAAAAATTAAAGATGAGAGAAATCAATTTCTTAAGAAGAGGATCATGTGCAATCGCTCTTGGGGGCTGAGGAGAAGGAAAGAGAATGGTTTATCCTCCCGGCATTCATTGGTAGCACTGTAGAATTTTTTCCTTCTAGGCTCATTAAGCAGTTACCAGCAAATTTCAATTGTTTTGAAGGTCACTCAATATTAATTCCAGTTACCATTCTCTTCTTTGCTTCGTCTAGTGCCATGGTAAGCCTCCCTACTTTCTCTTCAGGCTCATCCTCATATTTTGAATTTGTTTGAACATGTTTTTACTTTTTATGTTTCCTCTGATGATTCTTTAGTCTACGGTTCTCTATCTCCAATTCACTGGGGCACATCCCTGACTAGCTTACCACCTTTTTTACTTTGGACATCTTCATAATCAGCCAATTACTCTCTATTTCCGATACACTCTATTCTGTTGTTATCAATGAAGTTACAAGAAAAGAGAAATGATTTGTTAGAATTTCACTATTATCGTTTATTTCTCATAAGAAAAAGAAGGAATCGATATAGTAGGGATCTATTTATTTATTTAACGGCTCGACAGGTGCCTGAAGCTGCCCTTGCCCTCTCAACTGCCCTTTCCCAATCATTTCGGTCAGCAGCATTATATAGCACATTTACATGACTTCCTTTCATTAAGCATATCATTACGTTCTTTTCTGAAAGCGACATAATCTCTATAAATTTTATAGCAACTTACAGATTTTTTCTTCACGACTTGCAGGTTTCAACTTATAGATTTCTTTTTGTGAGGTCAGAATATGCGCCTGGCCAAGATTGACCAGAAAACCTCACGACCTTATTTTTCAATAAAATTGTCCTTATTGGTTTTTGCAGTGACTGTTGATATGCTCTTTTATTATAAAAAATAAATTATTTCTCATACAAATTTATTTAAATTGTAAACTTAAAAATAAAAATGTTTCTAAATGAATAAATAACTTCATTTTACGATATATGATTTGTAAAATACAATTTTAACCTGCTAATTTTGTTTTATTTCCAATTTCTTTGAAAGGGACATCTCATCTCTCTATAGGGAACAAATTTTGATTCCCCATTAAGTGTCCGGTACAGAGAAATTTTACTGTAATTGAATTGGAATATTGAGTGAGAAGTAAGGACATTGCCTTCCACTAGACAATGAATTGAAAGTAGAGAAAGAAACCATTCACATAATATCAATAATGTAATCAAAGACTCAACTGCACACAAGTGGTGTAACTTATTCAACTTTTTTTCATTATGAAAACAATAGTGAAGAAATCCGATGATTGAAATAAATAAACTTTGCTAAATAATTTAATACTAATTTAAAAAATAAAAAAGTATGGATTTACTTACGAATTTCAACCAAGGTATCCTGTAAAATTTCTCAACCACATGGAAAGCATAACAACCAAGTAAAATTCCTGTTACCCAGAAACCAAAACCACATATCAGACTAGTAAAACTCATATGTGCAACATGTGAAAATTTAGAAAAAGAAGCTGAAAGAAACACCAGAAGGTTGAGAACCTGTAAAAAAATAAATAATTAAATATAACAAATAATAATAATAATGAATAAAATAGAAAAGTAAAAATTCTAATTTAATCATTATAACTGTATACAAAAACAAAAAACCACTATATGGAGGAGGATATCTCATAACTTCTAATTAAGAAGACTTCATGAGGACCAATTCACATACACTGGTCATATTGTCGACAACACATTAAATTAAAGAATGTGCAATGTTAAGCTAGTTAACATTTGTTACTTTGACATGGTGGCGACAATATGGTCATATGCATGCAAAATGATCAATGTTGTGAGAGGGTTTTGAACTAATAGAATCCTAGATCAGCCCAATAAAAGCAATATTAAAAATATTTTCAACAGATAGTATGGTTAGTGAATTAATAATTATGCTTAATATTGGTTAACTTTATATTATTTTTGTAAATGAAAGACCAAACATCTATAATATATGAAATATGTATATAGATAGATATACATATTTCATATATTATAGATCTATAGTATAGATTCTTTCTACTGGTTTCAGGAATGATAGAATTTTGTTGAATGAGGTATCAAAGAAAAGGGAATTTCAAGGAGAGTAACAAATAACAGTTTGATCCTTAAATTTCTTCAACAAATTTAATAAAAGTCATTAAAAAATTGAGTGGTTTTAAAACTCAGATGATTTTTAAGTCAATAAATTGAGACGAGATAATAGTTCCAGTATACTTCTAAAGGAACTATCGGTCTCTGCTTTTTAAAGCCCATAAATGTCCCATTTTTTAAATAATCCAGAATTCTTGTTGAATGCCTCTTAGGTGTTTTGCAGTGAGAAACTTAAGATGTGTTTAGGTTTTAAAAATTATAATATTGCTTCTTAAATTGGTCTTTGAAGAACTAAAAATCTATTGAAAAGGTAGATGAAGGAGAATACAGAAACATTTAGAAAAAAATATTAAATAAATTAAAAAAATCCACATATGGCTTCCATATTTACAGTAACAGACTTCTACAGTCTCAGTGAGAGTATTAAAAACCAAAGAATATCTAAAGCACCAAGAAAATAGGTCTTGAGTTAGTAAAATCATAGATGTTTAGGAATAGCAATGTCTAATCGCTTAACTATTAAACTGGAGGGATATTCTCCAGTGGGACAAGATAATTACTTATTCAATAAATTATTACTTTAAATTGTGTGTTGAATAGGCTATCTTGAAAATATACTATTGCATATATGTATAAACATGTCACTGATACGTCAAATACATTAAGAAGAGGGGAATCTAATGTGAGAGTTCTCACTGAAATATATTAGTTATTCGCAAAATGAAAGAATGATATGGAATTTTAAAAAAGAGAAATCCTAATGTGTTGATTGTGAAATCTGATAACCTATTTAAGTATGAGAAAAGATGAATATAATAATGAAATGAAATTGATCCTTAATGAAAATAAAAACTATAGAAAAATGATAAAAGACCATTGTCAAGATTTATGCTATATATACAATATGCGTACACACTGTATATAATAAGGTCGTATAGATTCCTTTTCCAGCTCTATGTAGCAATGAATTTTGACAAACAAGGTGTCAAAAGAAAGGAAATATAATGGAGAAATGATAAATCCAATACTGATTCTTAAATTTGTACTACAAATTTAAGAAAAGCAATAGAAAAAAGTAGGAGGTTTCAAAACATTAGTATTAGGAAGTGGACAGATGAACAGATACCAATTTTGAGATAAACATAATTCGTGCTGAAAGCCTTCTAGGTACCACGGTTGCCATGGGATACTTATCATGTGTTGCTGGGATACTTATCACTCATATATGGAGCCTTTTTATAGGATAGAATAGATTAGTCCCATATTGCAAGCCTCAGTATCCTTTCCTCTTCCCATATTTTTCTGGATTAGTTGAAGTAGCTTGGGTTTTAAGTCGTCTTTAGACAGTTCTTAAGGGAGGTTGTCAATCCCTGGGGCCTTTCTTGTTTTAAGCCTTTCAATAGCTATTCCTACATCCACAATATATGGTTTTTCAACCTCTTCTGGTTCAAGATCCTCAGTGTGGTCCATGTTTTGTTTGTTCATGGGGTCCCCTTGATTGAGAAGATTCATATATAATTCTTCATATATATTAATATATAATTGAGATATATAAATTATAATTCACCTAGGGAAAAAAATTTAATTCCTACCTCTTATTATACATAGTACTTACTTATTTCCATATTATGTCACAGATATGGTCAATAAGGACAGAATGCAGTAGAAGTGGAAACAACAACAAAATAAGAGTTTACTTATCATAACAATTACATATATAAGAACAGCCTATTTTTCATTTGTAAGAAATAAAATGCTAGGGATACTATAACAGGGATAACAGTGAACATGATAGGTTGATGTTGTAAATTGTAAAAAACAATAAATTGTAGAATTAGAAAAGAAAGATAAATTGATATTTCTGGACATGGTTGATTTTCAGACATGAAAACAAAATTGTCATCTATATCATATGAAAATCAAAATAATAAATAATTATGTTAAGGGAGTAAAAGTAATAATGGATTTAAATTGGTTGAAAGAAGTGTAGAAAAAAGTTTGTAAGATATTCTCTACGAGTTTTTCACACTAAAAGTTTAATTAAAAAACGGTTAAGGATTGAATTATAAGTCCAAAAATATAGAAACTAATAATAAAAGAGATAAAATGTTGGTTCATAAAAAGTGTCAAGGTTGCAATTAAATAGAAGTGTTTACAGCAGAAATATAAAAATTGTTTAAGAAATATGAAGTTGAAGAATATTCACTGTTTTAGATTAAAGAATAGAATTAAAAATTATTATAGCAATGTAAAAAACAAAATATGAGTTCAAAAATATCAGTTATGCAGCTATGACGATGAAAATTCCTTTGTGTACCATGGGTTGAAACTCGAAAATTGAACTTGCAAAAAGTTAAAATTCCCAACTTTTAATTGCATTTTTCCATAATCCTAATTTTTGCACTTAATATAATATGCATAGGTGCCACAGACATAAAACACAATCTATAATTGTCCAGCAATATATAAAGGGAAGCTCAGTACCTTACCACTGAGCTACCCCACTTCCTGCAGCAATATGAATGGGAAAAAATAAGCAATACAGGAATGAAAGAAGTTACCAATATAGAAATAATATTTAAAAAAATAAACACAGACACTAAAAAAACAAAACAATGTTAGTGATAAAATGAAAATAATTTTGATTTTGAAAGAGAAAAAGAAAAACTTTCATTTAAAAGAGAAATTTTTAAAACTATTTATATATAGGAAAATATTCATGATACTGTGAATAGCAAACCAGATTCAAAAAAATTAAATCATCGTATACAGAAATAGTAAAAAGTATTAGCAATGTTTTACAAAATAAAATAAATAAAGAATATGATTTTTACTGGCTTAATTGGACATTTAAAAAAATTTAAATCAGGAAACAGAATTATAAATAACAAGTTAATGCTCAAAGATATATAAATTATGTTTAAATGGGATATATTTTTAAGATTTAAAAGATGGTAAAATAAACATGAAATGCAATGCCATGGGTGGAAAATATACTGTTGGTGTCAATAGAAATATTTTGTTAATGTTGCTTAATTTGTTAATGTGATTAAACAATTAAAAATTAGCTGATGATTAGGAAAGATTAGGCAAATGATTTTTATTTTTTATGGAGCTATATTTTTTACAAGGCTTAGTGACATCTATGCATTCGAACTATAACAGAAAAATCTTTTTATCTTACAGGTTATCTAATTTAGCTAGAGGGAGGTCAAGATTTTTTCTGAGGGACCATTAAAAAAATAGAAATCCTCCAAGTTCGGAAACAAACTTTAGCCACTCAAGATAAGCAAACTCAATAGCAATAATTTAGCAAACTCAAAATAAAGTATTCACAGTAGATAGTCTCAGATATTTATTCGCTATGAAAGGTTTATATTATGTAATAAAGTTCACAATTATATTTCAGTGAAGAAATATAAATAAAAAGTGAATATTTTCTAGAAGAGGCAATTAATCTCTATGTTTTTGACTTGAGTACCTAGGTACTTAAAGTAGGGTTTGCGGACCCTGTAGGTCCACAAAAACAATTTTGACATTTTCTTTACATCCCTCAACCATACATTTTTTTACTCAAATATATAATTTAATAAAATCCTTACATGGTCAAGTCTTTTTTTTAAAAATTGTAATTTGACAAGTTATTAACATAACAGCATACAATATCTGAGATTGAGATAGGCTCCACACAAAAAAGTTGTTCAAGAAAGGATTCTCAGACTACATAAGTTACCTCAGCTTTAGGACATAACTAAAAGTAATAAAATAATTGAACATCATCCTATGTATGCAACCATTCCACTGACATAAATTAAAAATCATAAGGAAGTTTTAGCACGAAGAGGTTGACACATGTTAATAAAATAGGAAAATTTTTTTAAACATAAAGAACTAACTACTATCTACTGCCGGCCAATTTCATAATCATTATTAGCTAAATGATCTAAATCTAGAAGAAATAAAAAATCATTCTCCAAAAAAAGTCAGTAAAATAAATTTATAATAATTGTAATTCTTGGAAAATTACTCATACTTTAAAGCAGCATTAGTGACTATAAATGAAAAAGAATACTGGACTCAACTCACAAACACAGAACTTAAAACTACCAAATCATTCTTTATATATATATATATATTATATATATATATATATATATATATATATATATATATATATATATATATATATATATATATATATATAATTTCTTTTTTCTTTTTGTGATGGCGCGACAAGTCTAAAACATTTACTGCAATGATCCTCATAATAACATAATGACAAGGAATCTCAAATATTAACAAGGATCAGATTCTAGGAAAAATGAGTCACAGCTTCCTGTAGATAAATCCTTGGAGATAAACAGTAAGAGGAATTTTTAACATATATATATATATATATATATATATATATATATATATAGAGAGAGAGAGAGAGAGAGAGAGAGAGAATAGAATAGAAAATAACTTTATTCTGGGACGAAGTCCCTTAAGAATAACAGAATATTGCAGGAAAAAAAAGAATAACATCTGACCAGGAAACCTGTTACATTAAAAAGTAGCTAGATAAAAAGCTTTAAGTTAATAAACTATAAATACAAAATCAAACCAGTGAGACTATTTACACAATTATATACCATACAAATAAGAAATTAAAAAGAGTAAAATTAAAAAAGAAAGAAATTAATAATCGCTGCATAGTTAAAAAGATTAAAGAATATAATAATCAAAAGAAATATATTAAAAAGCCCTAAAAAAAAACAGTAGAATACAAAATTAAGGTCTTTCAATAAATGAGCAAATAATCTATGAATAAAAGAAAATTTCAATTCATATTGAAATACACATACACCTAAATAAATACATAAACCATGTTATCAAAAGAAAGATGGTGTGAAAAAAAATATATACATATACATGCATTCAAGTGATATCTGGAAGGCAATTGATTTCTTGACAATTGAAACGTAAGTTTGTTAGTGGACCTCAAATAAAATCACAAGAAACGGCGACTCGTTTTGCTCAACTACTGACCTCTCCTCCTCGTTCTGACCCTTATGCGGAGATTTTGATTGAATGTGAACACATGGAAAAAAAAATTACTATTGAGAAAACAATAGAAGTGATTCACAAATGTAAAAATAATAAAACACCGGATGGATAGCATAACATATGAGTTTTATAAAAATGCAACACCCAGCTTCCTCGAAAAGATACTTCAAGTATTCAACAGTATATTTGAGAATGAAAAAGTACATAGATGTTTTAAATAATCTATTATATTACCTATATTCAAAAAAGGAGATTTAAATAATGTGCACGATTACAGAGGTATATCACTCCAAAATAGCATATAAAAAATATTTACCGAAATATTACTGAACAGAATGTCAAAATGGGCATCAGATAATAATGTTTTGCATAAAAATCAAGCTGGATTCAGGCCAAGATACTCCACTCACGATAATCTGTTTATTCTGTACGGAATAATAAGTTGTAAATTTCATAATGATCAGTCTATTTTTTTACTTTTTGTAGATTTTAAGACGGATATGATTGATACGATAGACTGAGAATCACTTTTTAATAAATTAAATACTACCCATATCCCAACAAAAGCCATAAGAATTTTATGAAGCCTGTATGAAACTACAACATTTACTGTATGGGCAAAAGATGGACTTTCACGACCTTACAATGCTGAGATAGGCCTAAGTCAAGGTTGCTTGCTTAGCCGCTTCTTTTCTCCATTTTATTAATGATCAGGTGGAATACTAATAGAAAGGAAGAAGCTTAATGTACTCATGTATGCGGATGATGTGATTTTGATTTCGGAAAACCCATTAATATTGTAAGAAATGATAAATAGATTAGAGACCTATTGCAAAACGTGGAGTCTGGAAATCAACCTAATATGTCGAAAAAGGAAATGAAAAACTGATACGAAATTAAAATGGACATATGATGGGAATCCAATAGACATAGTAGAAAATTTCATCACATCATTTTAGGGAACGCTTTGAATAACAAAAAATGTACTTAATATAATATTCTAAAGAAATGTATGCCAAATTAGAATACGATTGTGAGTATTTTCGGCAGAATGATGACAATTTATATTTCATTGGGCTAATTTTTAATGCGAGAGGGAAACTTTTCAATCTAAATTACCAGCTGTGGCAGGATAAAAGGGGATTGTGTAATATGAATGCACCGGAAGATAATTTTTATTTTATATCGCTATGCCCAATACTAAAATTCAAATTTCTAAAATAGATTGAAACCTAGAGATGGAGCTATTGGAGAAGGACAATGATTTTAGTTCGTTGAAAAGGATGGAATAGTTATTGAAATCGAAGGCTTTGAAGAAGTCAAGAAGTATAACAACAGTTAATTGTTTATTATCTATTGCAGTCTGAACATCATTAGTAATTTTAATTAAGGCGGATTGTGTGGAGTGTTTTCAGCAACAATGACTACAGTTAATAGTTGCAAAGCTTTTATTTCTTGTTTTTCCGTGATATAGAATGTATTGTAATAAGTGCCTAAAAACATATTTTATTAATAAAAATACAAAATTTAAAAATAATGATTTTTATGTAAGGTGGTTATGAAATTGTGTTTTTCACCCAGATTTCTATCATAGGATTGATGGGAATTTATAAGTAACAAACTTAATAACTCCCCTCTTCCCTCTCTCCTTCTGTGACATACAAGATTGATTTATATTTTGAACCTGATATTCTTTCCATGGTATGGTATTCCTAATTTACAATTTATATTTCTATATCCAACTGGTGATGTGCAAGGAAAAGGTTCAGAAATCAAAGTTTAATCCAAAAAGATATCTATTTGTGATTTTAACATCATATATATATATATATATATATATATATATATATATTTACATACACACACACACACACACACACATATATATATATATATATATATATATATATATATATATATATATTTAAAAAATTTAGCATGGAGATACGGATGTGTACCTAACTAATGACTATTATTTTATATGATTGCCAAGACAAATGAAATGAGTACATTTGACATATCTTTTTGTGATAATTTATCTGTTTGTGAGGATGAAATCTTCCTCGGAGTCAGTTCTTCCCACTTTGCTAGGCACTTCTTCAAAGCATCCTTGCCAGCACATTTCTCTGAGCTCTCCACTGGACACATCTTCAACGATCGCTCTAAGACTGACTATCTCCTCTTCAAGGAACTTCCTCATTTTAACTTTCCTGACTGACTTTCCTCTCAAGTCTGCCTAACTGCCTGTTCTTTTATCTCTTTAACTGTTTTTTTTTCAACCACAAATATTTTTATATCATCTTCTTCCTCCTTCTTTTCAAAGTTTCCTGATTGGTCAATTCTATTTTTTTTTAGAATGGAATGACTACCCATCCCTTCCATTCTTCAGTAGAGCTTTTTTCTATTTCTGGTACTGCTACTGCTACTTGTGGGGGAACTTGTCTGGCGAGTGGGCCTTGTTGTGGTCCTTTTTGCCAACCCCTGAGGTTGCTGCTGTGTACTTACCAGAGTGGGAGAGTCAAGATTCACTTCCCGGGTCCTCCGAGAAATAAATATTAACCGACCCAGGTGGGAATCGAACCCATTCTTGGATCTATTTATTACTTTGTTCTTGCAGGTGTGTGCCTAGTCCCATTAGGTACCTCTCTCAGCCCTTGCCCAAACCGACATTTATCTGTATGACCTAAATTGGTACTGTTTAAATTTGTCTTTACAACGCTGAGTCTATTTATTGTTTTCATGGAATGTATTCCAATTTCATGAAATAAATGTTAATTTACACATAAACCTCCATGAAACATAGCAATATTACTACTACTGGACAAAATTATAATCTGCTAGCAAAACCTTATCATAATATTATGTTAGTTTTATTTATTATCAAAATACTTTTAGTCAGTTCCTTATACCTTATTTAAAAACAAACATTAACTTTAACTAATTTAGAAAAGTTTAAACAACCTCCATTATTTTTATTAAATAAGGTTATTAAAAACAGGTATAAAAACAAAATATAGTTATAAAAAAACTAAATTATGAAACTATAATATTTCTGATTTTGTTATTTTTTCCAAAACTAGATGTTGAATATAGCTTCAATTATGATGTTATTAAAAAAAAAAGTACAAAAAAAAAACCACAACCTGATCCAATAAAATAAACTCCTTGACAACTAATTCAACATTTAATTGTTTATTAATGAAAAAATAATATATTATTATGGATTTCAAAATGAGAGAGAGGGGAAAGAAGTCTATTTAAAATTGATCTGACCAAAAATATAAGTAGACAGCATGAAAAAAAAAATGAGTTAATCAATAACACTTTGATATAAAAATAACTCAAGATTAAGAGTAACAGAATGTACACATAGTTATAATCATACACTTCAAAAATATATTTCCACAACTTGATGATAAAATTCTTTTTATGGCTACTACAATAGAAGAAACAACATTTACAATAGAAGAAATATTACATTTCCTGAGTAAATTATGTGTAGAAGAAAAGAAAAAAAAAAGCAAGATTCATAATTCAATATGATTTTATTACAATATAACCATCAAAATTTATTTTGAAAATAAGAAAAGCATAATATTTCAGCACCTTATTACAATTGAAAATAACTAAAAATGACTGCAGTTTGTATTAAATAAGAAAGAAAATTCACACAGTGACCTTTCCAAAAAGTATGACATCATCGTTTCTTATTATCTTAACATTTATGGGACTTCAGGAAAACTTAAAGACAACAAACTTTTATCAACGTACATATGAGCAACTTAATCACGATCTTTAAATTTTATTGTAATTAATTTTTATGGCTTAAGATCAGTTTTTAGAAGTGATGGATTGACACTTATTTAGAAATTGTAATAAGTACATAAACAAAAAAGATAAATTTATTAAAAATTTCAATGAAATATTCATAAAACAAAACAAATTATTTAGGAAAAATATAATGAGATACTTTTGAATGGCAATAAAACTAATACGAAACTAATCATAATAACAGAAACTTTTGTTGAATTTTAATTTTGAGAAATCCATAACAGTTTATTGAATAACACCATATGAAAGTGATTCATCAAAGATAAATCTCCCTCAGATAGTAAAGAAATAAGTCAAAAACAAAGATTAAAAAAAAGGGTAAAATAAATGACAAATATCTATCCGAAGAAAGCTTTAAAAAGTACAGATAGATATGAATGTAATATGCAAAAAATGTAGATGAAATTAATAAGAAAAAAATACAATATAAAAACAACTTTGTAACTTAAATATAAGTACTTACAATTTCGACACACTTCAGGATACCAGGTACTGAACGGATGTAAAGTGGATCATATCTTATATCTGTTTGAACTGTTGTATTCGAAGTTGTTACTGTAGTAGTTGTGGTATGATTGACAGGGAAACCTTGTTCGGTCATCATCGGGATAAATTATAAGTATCTAAATAGGCAATAAGTACATGAAACACAAACTGCAGAAATTATCAAATTAATGAAGTAATTATTGGTAACCATAAAACTAATGTTTAAAATAGGTCGTGTTCTAATTAATGAAATAACTCAATATAAAACTCATCAATTAAAAAATATATACAAAAATAAGAGTATTACAAGAATGTAGACCGATTTAAAACAGTTTCTGCGTGTTAATTAGAACATTAAGTACAATTAGATATGTCATTATTTTTTACGTACCTGAATGAAACACAAAAAAAATAAAAACTTAAGGTTTAAACTAAAAAGATTAAACACTTAGACTCCACCCCCACTTTACTCTACATTGACTCTACCTCCATATGTGAGCGACAGAAGAGACATCTGTTGATATCACTAAGGAAATATAGATTACTACTTGAGGGGCGTTTTTTCCCGTTTAGTAACTGAATTTGTTTAAGACTTTCAGTTAATTCAAGAAAAATATTTATTTTGTTTTTTGTTTTTGTAAAGTCTTAAATAATTTCATAAAGTTCTAAAATAAACATTAAAATTTGAAATAAATAAACAAATCAACACTATAATAATTTGCTCCTAATGATCATTCTTAATTTTGAATATAACTAAATAATTTTCACTTTAAAATACTGAATATAAATTCTACTCAATGGCATACCTGAGGGGAAGGGTGGATGATTTTATTTTTTAATTTAATAACTTCTTTGGACTTAATAATACTTTAAGGAATTTAATAACTTTATTTGACAATTGGTCTGTTAAATTGTCCCCAAACTGTGGTCTTTCACCCAAAAAAAAAAATCTAGTGTGGACTAAGTTACTTGATCATAACTGTTTCTTCAGTCCCATATGCACATCTCCATTATGGGAATTCTTAAAATTATGTGATCTTTGGGCTCTCTCATGTATTTTGTTTATTTATGTATTTTATTTTTATTTTTTTGTATTTCGTTTTTGGAGTAGAATAGAGTTTTTCGGATCCAATTCTTCTCATTTTGCTTCGTTCATGAGCAGGTCTGGCCTGGCCTGGTCTGCTAGTCAGCAATCACCGAGGGTCCTCGAGCCAGGGAGACACCTGAAGGGGGTTTAGAAATCATTTCTCTAGTACCAAAAATAATTGTTTTATATTCGTTTATTTTCACAAACTTTTTGGATTATAGACTTAGTTTTCGGGTCTTCTAGTGTCATAAGAACACTTAAATGAACACCCTCATTTTTTAACAGAGTATCTACAAAAATAAAGTAAAAAAGAAAATGGTTACATCACTAATGTGAGATACAACCTACAGAAAGAAAATAAAACCTATCAGTAAGAACCTCGTCAAATTACTATTTGGTTGCTTCTGAATCTTTCGGGGAAAGAGTAAGTTCCTCTTGAAATTAAGACAAAGGAGAGTCAGAAGCACCAGTAAACACATTTTAGCCACAACTCCCAGTTACTGCCTTGTCAAGCCGAGGTAGCGAATTGGGTACCTCACTAGTTGATCCAGAATTTATTTTTGGAAGGGCTTCAGCCCGAAAGCTTTTTTTTATGAAATGGTGTTTAAGTGATTCTAAAAGCCCTATTAAATGTAATTACACGAACAATAATACTTTTTAGAGATAATATTTTAATATTTATTCACAAGAGATGGTTATATTTTACCATTTTGGGAAGAAGGCTTCAGCCTGAAAGCCCCAATCTGTAGATCCACCTGTGAGGTACATTAATTTTAAATTTTAAATGGAATTTTATACTAGACCGTACGTACACTATTCTCCGAATTTCATATATAGCATTTTTCTAATATAGGAGTACCAGAAAAAAACACGTTCGCTCATCTGTAATCGTAAGAATTTTTTGAAAGCAGAGGATGTTTATCAATAATATTAATACATATTCCATTATTTTTTACTAAACCTTTTTTTCTTAAAACTTCTCTGTAAGTTTGGGGCAAATAGAGTCAAGTTCTTTTAACATATTGCAGTAACAGAAAGCTTCCCTACCTCCGGTAGTGAGGAGGCATAAATCACTTTCTCCAATTTGAGCAATCCCTTAGTGCCGACTCCTGTGGCATATACTACTTGCTTTTTACGCTCATTGTCGCACTACGTATTTTCATTATTTATATTTTCATTATAATGTAGTAATGAAAATAAAAAGAATTAAAAATATTACTGTTTTTGGAAGGTTTTCGTATGAGTTTGTAGGTGGTAGATCTTTTAATTCAAAAGGTTGTTTAGAATTTTACAAAAGGTTACATTAAAATAGATATGTTCAAACTACAAAAATATATTTATCTTCTCCATTCGATTCAGCAGAAGGAATACACAGTTACGAGAAATGTTTAAATTAATACAGGAGAAAATCTAGGTGAAAGAGCCAGTCCAGAGAATCGAGCATTTCACCAAAAATTTGGTTCCGCTAATGTTGACATAAGATTTAACTTTAAAAAAAAAGTGCTTAGGGCTTAAGCCCCCTTCCAAAAATGGTAAAATATAACCATGTTTCATCGAAACAAATATAAAAAAAGTACCTCTTAAAGTATTATTGTTCGTGTAATTACATTCAAAAGGGCTTTAGGAATCACTTAAATACCATTTCATATAGGTAGTTAGTTTCTTCATTTTTTTTCCAAAATAATTATCGTTATTTTTATGGAAAAATAACTTTCGGGCTGAAGCCCTTCCCCCCAAAAATAAATCTTGGATTTAAAGGGTACCCACTTTGTAGAGGCTGGGTGTACTGCAGGAGGGTCTCCCTACCACAGGATCGTCCCACGGCCAATGAAACAGAATAAATAATTTTTTCTGCCATGAGTCGGGATTCGAACCATCGACCTCGAGCATAGGAAGCTTGGTACCATACCACTAAGCCACCCCGCTCCCCGATGAAGCGGTATAGGTCAGGACAAATTTTGAGAAATTTTTTTTGAGCTGTTATAACCTTAATTAAATCAAGCAATTAATATTAATATGGGAATTAATATTATCTGATAATATTTGTCTCGAAATACACTGACAGGCAAAAAATTCAACCCACTTGATTTTTTCATGTTTTCATCTAAAAATATTTCTGCTTTGGATTGGTCTATTTTTTTTTAATGAATAAATAGGTAATATTTTTGTTTGTTTTCAATTAGGAATGTTAATATAGAGGACAATAACCCTTAATCCTTAATTCGATTAAATGATTCTAGATTCCAATGTTTACTTTCTATGGAATCAAAATGTTTATTCAGTATCATTAGTTCAGTGTCGTTTCTTGCAGCACATTTCTTAGTCTTCGGCTTTTAATTTTTTCAATATTAAGTCCAAAAATGCCACTTAGTGCTGAGGTTGTTGCGCGTGGTGTGGCATTAATTGATGATGGACGATCCATTAGATATGCAGCTAATGCATCTCTCAATGGAACTCAATCAGAGTTCCATATGAAACTTTACGAGACGCCGTCAGGCGTTTTCGGGAAACTGGTTCTTACAATAGAAAGTCCGGTTCTGGACGGCCTAGGGTAACAGAACCACGGGATGACCGGTTTTTGACTTTGAGAACTATACGAATCCGTCACCTTACCGTTGTTCAAGCGATTCATCAGCTCGAAGAAGTTCGAGGTGTGCAAATTTCTGAACGTACCGCTCGGAGAAGATTAAATAAGTATGGATTAATGGCTTTTCGTCCACTAAGAGGACCAGAGTTGACCAGAACTCACAGAGTAACACGGCTGGCTTTTGCTCGAGAACACAGCCATTGCACTATGGACGAATGGAGTGCTGTACTTTTTACAGATGAGTCAAGAATCGCACTTCGATCTCCAGACGGGATTGAAAGGGTGTGGAAAAGAAGAAACGAAAGATATGCAGCCTGTAATTTTTCCCAGAGCCAACCTTTCCAACGTGGTTCCTTAATGGTGTGGGCTGGGATTTCAATGGAGCGCCGCACAGAATTGGTTGTTCGTGGAGGGTCTTTGACGGTCATTCGCTATGTAGATGAGATTTTGGAATCTCATGTGTTGCCTATCCTTAACGAAATTGGCGATCGTTCTATTCTAATGCACGCCCCCATGTCGCCCTCATAGTGCAGACGTTCCTTCAACAGAACAATATTGAGGTTTTAGCCTGGCCAGCACGTTCTCCAGATTTGAACCCCATTGAGCATTTATGGGATAACCTCGGAAGACGCAACACTTCCTGATACACTGCAGGACCTTGAAAGGGCTCTTCGGGAGGAATGAGCTATCCTCCATCAAAGGGACATTTCCTGAATGGTGGAAAGTATACCGAGGCGTCTTCAAGAAGTAGTGAAGGCAAGAGGAGGAAACACGCGCTACTATACGATGATGTAATTAATTTCTTTTAGAATAATAATGATTCGTTTTTCAATTTTTTTTCTCTAATCTTTCTTATTCAATCACATTTTGATTATTAAAGGTAAAAAAGATTATAAAATTCCATAAATACTAAGTATTATCTACAAATACCATGTATTATATACAAATACAACTTTACTGAAATATTTTTAGATGAAAACATGGAAAAATCAAGAGGGTGGAATTTTTTGCCTGTCAGTGTATATTGATTAAAATACTAATATAAATTTTTTACTTTCATTAGGGGAGGGAGAGATGGCAAAATTAAAAAGATTGCTCTTTCTGGCAACATTGTAGTTCCTCCATTCACAGGCGGATTTACGGGGGGGGAGAGGGGGGTTTCAGGCTGAAGCTCCCCCAAAATGGTAAAATGTAACCATGTTTTATGGTAAAAAATATTAAAAAATTATGTCTTAATGTATTATTGCTAGTTTAATTACATTTAATAGGACTTCAAGAATTACTTAAACACCATTTCATATAGATAGTTAGTATCTTTCTGTTATTCTAAAGTAATTATCGTTATATATATATATATGAAAAAAGAGCTTCCGGGCTGAAGCCCCCCCCCCAAAATTAAATCCTGGATCCGCTAGTGCCCCCATTGAAGATGGTGACAGGTGTACTTTCTCAAAAATGGAACAAGGCATGGCGACACTTCAATGTGGGAATCACTTTTAAACGACGGTATTTCGTTCCATAATTTCATTAGATTAACAAAATTTTAAAAGAAATCCTTTGCTAGCCAACGGATCCACGAGAAGCTTTCGACCTGAAATCCGCCAAATGGGAAAATAATTTTTTTTTTTTCATTGACCCATATTTATTTTTGTGGTCTATCTGAGCTAAATACTACAACAATATGCACTCTTTTGAAATTATAAAAAAATATAAAGCTAAGAAATATAAGCACGTATCAAGAAAAAACTATTTAAAAATTATCCCTAGAAGCATTATTGTTCCAGTAATAATCTTCTTCTTTTTTTTACAAGCCTTTACACACAATTTACATAATCATTTTATATATTTCCTTCCTGGGTAATCATTACGAATCCACCAGAGGTAGCCACAAAGAATACGAAATTTCTAATCAATCAAGTTATGAGGGACTTAATTCGTATTCTAATAACCGGGAATGTATTTTAAAATATAAAGCCTTTTTTTGAGATTTCTGTTCTAGTGGTCCTTCGATCCGATGTCTCACAATCGGGAGTAGCTCTTAGCATTTCAATTAACTCTATTACAAGCTTCTTTGTCCATATAATGTTTACAAGCTATAATAGATCATAAAATAAATTATACAATATTTTAAAAACGTATAAATAAAAATACAAAATAGTAATAACTTACTTGATGAAATTCATCTAAGTTGAACAACCTGTTGACGAGAGTTTTTGCATACAGTTGGCGTGTTGTATTCCTGTTTTCAATTTGAAATAGGAAACAGGAATAAAAGCAGCCAATGTATCCAAGTATTTTGCAAACTTGAGGGGATATATTTATTACTAAACTAATATCGAAACTTTGACATTTTGTATATTGCAGACAATTTGGTAAGTTCACCCTAATTATTATTATTAACTTCCCTGAAGCATCTTATAACTTCTTTTCATTAACAAAATTCTACACATTATTAGTGATGTAAAAAAATTCTTTGATAAGTAAACCTGCTAGTTCCTCATTATTATATCTTGCTAAACAGTTACCTTCAAATGATTTCACATCTGCGAAATCGTTAAGCAGAGTATGAGAAAAACATTCCTCCATTTATAACTTTAATAAATTCATTTTCTTATTTCAGCATGAAAAGAAATTGTTAGTTTATCTAAAATTTCTTCAATGGAGTAAATTAAAATATTTTAGTAAATGATCAAAGAAATCATTTGAATTATATTCATCACAAAGTGATTACAAATATATATATATATATATATATATATATATATATATATATATATATATATATATATATATATATATATATATATATATATATATATATAATTAATTTCTAGTAATTATATTAATATATAAGCATTTAATGGGAAGTTTTAACTATTAAATTAATTTGATTGACAAATTTAACCATGTGTTGTTTTTTTCTTTTTTCGAACAATAAATTATATAGTAAGAGAAACTGTTACGATCATGAAAATTTGAGCCTGAGTTTTGAACAGAAATTATGTCTCAAGATCCTCAGAGTCCAACTAAACCATATCTCCTGAATATGTCTGTCTGTATGTGATTTATCAGGCTCAAAGTTCTATATCTGTCTTAAAAACAGGCGGATTTATGGGAGGAGGGGAGCTTTAATTATCTTTAAAATTATTATTGTTCATGTAAGTACATATAATAGGAATTCAAGAATCATTTAAACAACATTTCATACAAGAAGTTATTTTCTTCCAAAGCATTATAATATATATAAAAAAGGCGTTCGGACTGAAGCCCCCTCAAAATTTGATCCTGGATCTGCTGGTGATCTTAAATAAGTAATTTTTATCTTTCTTTTAGATGGGGGGGGAAGAGGAATGACTTCTGCCAGAAAGTTTTTATTTTGTTTTATATATATATATATATATATATATATATATATATATTTTCAATGATACAAAAATAGAAATTATTACCAAAGTACAATTAAAATCATTTTTTCATCACTCCTACCTTACCTACATTACCTTCATTATCCTTGTATGTTATGTATTCATTTTTAAAAAACATATTTCTATAATTTCTAGAAATTCGTTATTATATATGTCTTATATTCTTATAACTTTTTAAAAAAACAATGTTGACTGAAATTAGGCTGGTAAGTAAAAGTTGTTTGATGTATCTAACCAGATTTTTATATTTTATGAAAATAAAGTGTTTCTCTCTCTCTCTCTCTCTCTCTTACATGTCATTATTTGATAACTGATTACATATACCATGTCGTTATATACATCAGTCACTTCTGTATATATTATTAATTTTCTCTTTTTTTAATCAAATTGTTTAAAATATTTTTAATTCATGACATCCTAAGTAATTTAAGTTCCACCATATACCTAATTCACATCTCATTCACAAGTGATAAATATATTTTAATTATTGTGAAAACCAAAATTTCTTTGAGTTGATCAAAAACCACGAAAGAATCTGGAATTTAATTATATTTAATGAGAATTCTTTTTCACTTTATTGCTCACATAGAGGTCATTAAGTTTGCTTCTAATTTCTAAAATTCTCATCAAACTTACTTAATAAGTTAAAAAAATAATATGCCAGCATAATGAGAATTCGGACTACCAACATTCTTGTTGTGAGACTATTTGTCAGAATCTTATTTGATTAGTTCTATACAAAAAAATAATAATATGGTAACGATTTGATCATAGTCAGTTTAAACACTATTAATAATTTAAAATTTTGAAATACAAGTATGTTGCATTAGTGCAAGACATAATGGGTAGAATCATAAACATTATGAATCTTTTGAAGAAAATTGTTCATTTGTATTGAAACAGGTATAAAATTATCTTTTGATAAGTATTTCATGCGAGGTATCTCATGTACACTAAACATTACATGTGTTTTATCCTTTATTATGAGTAACAACTGCTACCTATTAACAATAACTTGGCTACTTAATATACAATAACGATTATTAGAATCATTAAAGCTATCTGTATCAGACATTCCATCGCTGCAAGATTCATATCTAACTTCTTTTATTTCTTTCCTTTTCTTCGGTTTTTTTAATTTAACCACCTGCTTAGGAGGATCAGGAATTAAGAGCATCAAATTATTGTAAACGGTGAAATACAAATTCAAAACAGATGGTGCTTTCCTAAGCAGAGATTGTAAGTATGATAACACATTAGTTCGTCCTTTAAAATTAACAGTGAAATTATAAAGAAAAGTACCATTATAGAAATTACCAAGATGACAGCTTTTGAATGGACATGAAAGCAAAGAATTAAGAGTAACAGCTAACTCAAATGCTGATTGAAGCTGAGCATAGGTATGTACAATGCTACGGGAAAATCTTTTAGAATTTCGATTCAAAGTTTCATCAACATGGAAATAAGGAATTAAACTGTCTAAAGCTATCAAACAGTCATCAAATTTAACCATTTCAATTGCTTCAATAGTACTTTTACACTCTATTGATTGACTTTTAGGGACATCGTTCTTCAATAAATATTTCAGTTTAGAACCATGCCTCTTAAGGAAGGTTTTCTTTTGCCAGCATGGACCAACAAGTTTACAGATAACATTTATGGTGATTATTGTAATAATCAAAGAATGTAAATGCCAATATTTTATGCAGGATCCATTTGCTTTGCTCCAAAATACAATTGACATCAATAATAAATGCCACTCACAGGGGAAGCTTTGAAGAATAGACGTATTTTCAACATCTAATGTTTTAAAAATAAATAATTTTTTTTCTGAAGGAGGGAATATGTTCAATACATCCAACTCAGGAAAGTCCAGTCCAGAAATTGAATTTACAGGGAATAGTTGAGAATTTACATACTTGGAATTTCTTCTGTACCAATAATTGACAGAAGATAAGCCCAACAATCCTATGATGACTTGTAAAATAGGTAAAGAAATAGATCCAGCCCATTCACATTCATAATCTTCAACCTGAGGACAGTAAAAGTAAACTTTCAGAGACAAAAGTGTGTTAATTGACGGGCACACATTACCCAAACGTGACTCATGAAGAAGCCAAGAAGGAATTAATAATTTTTTAGAAGGAGTAACACCAACTTCAGTAACATCAACGTTTGAAACACTTGAAACACCACCATCAGATTCATATTCTTCAAGTTCTTCTTCAACTTCACTACTTTTATCGTCACTACCTGAATCATCACTATCAAGAATTACTGATGTTTTTGAACACACTGACTCATCACTTTCTTCAGAAATTTCAGTACAGTGCAGTGAATTAAAAGATTTAATAAGCTCCAAGACTTCTTCACTTTGTTGATTGTTTTTATTAGCAATGTATTCTGGAAGATAATCATTCAAACAAGATTCTAGATTTGTATATCCTTTAATTATATTTTTTATGCTACTTTTAGCATTCCTTCTAGCATTTTTTTTCATAGATTGTAAAATCTAAAATAAATAATAATATTGATTAATATAAACACAAAAACTACAAAAAATTATTTTTAAAAGATAACATACCTTGGCCATAGCTGATTCAAAAGTTTCATTCTTAAGCCAGTCTACCAATCCTTTGACTCTTTTTTGACCGGGTCTCATTTTCTTTGATTTGTCCATCTTTAAATGACTGTAAAATTCTTTGAACTTACTAGTTTTAATATAATCATTTCCTAATACAGTAGCTAGAAGTGGTAACATTGTTTTAGGAATGTTCCCAAAACTTTTTAGAAGATTAGTAATACTGAATATTTTACAGGGAATATAACAATGTTTTCCTTTACCTTCACATCGATCAAATATCATACTTGTAAGAGGAATGTAATTAACATCATATATGAAAAAGTCTGAATCATTACTTAAAACCGGGGCATTAAGTTTTCTTGAAAGAGCAGCTATCTCATTATCAGCCTCAAAATCGGTTTGTAAAATAAGTACAGACAATTCTTTCAATTTTTCTCTGAAGACATGTCTCATCATGAGGGGAAAACACTGTAAATTGCTACATGAAGGTGAGACCTTTTCTAAAGCATAGACTCTTAGCAAATTTCTTCTCTTCACAGTGTTAAATTTCCTTTTTTCATAACCACCATCACAAATAACAATAGGCGTTACTTGACATTTTCTTAAATTGTCAATAAAATTAGCTATAAGCTTACAATACTTATCATAATCTCCTCCAAAGGCTGAGTTTATTTTTGAAGAACTATTATACAATTGTGCAGCTAAACCATAACCATCAATAATAAGAACACAGTCACTGAGGTGGTATGGTTCAAAACATATATCAGATCTTTGATTGACATAACTTGTAAGTCCAAGAACTCCCATCTTAATCAAAATGAAATTATGAAAATCATTTATTTTAATTAATTTGATATTTCTTTGGTAGTTAAGTTGGTAAATATTCTCCGTTATATATTAGAGCCATTCTAGAGATGAAATTAGTCTATTTACAAATATTATACTTAAAGAAAACTGCATGTTATTCCAAAACAAATACGTAACTCGTTCGTGAGTGAACTTCAAAAAAGAAAAACATTCAAAGAAGTGTGAAATATAAATGAAGGAGGTGCTCCGGGGTGCCGGTCATAAATAGACTAAATAGTGGCAAAACTATTTTATTAAAAGCCAACGTTTCGACCCGACTTTGCAGGTCTTCTTCAGGGCTAGAACGTACAAGATACACAAAGAAGAGAATTGTGGAAGTTACATAATATTTAGATAAAAAATTATTAACAATGTGAATAAACTTATTAAAATTATAAACAGTAAGTATATTAAAATATTAGGAACAATAAGTTATATAAACATAGTAAGCTAAGTAACAAGATCCTAAACTGAAGTAAATAGATAGTAACAATTGTTGTAGTATAATATATGCAATTGTGAATATACTCCTACAGATCTATAGGAGAGATTGGAAGAAAAAAAAAAGGATATAATATGAAATAATGGACATAAAGGGGTGTGGAGAAAGAAAATAAAAAATAAGTAAGTAAGTAATATTAGAAGAATAAAAATAGAAACTTACAGGTGCGTTCAGCAAGGAGTTTCACTTAGAACTGAAAACCTGGCTAAGTACCACTGACCTGGTTGGGGAATGATGAGGGGGTAAGTTGTAAAAGTAAAACAAAACCTGGAATATTAAAGTATCTAAAATTTGAAGATGTGGATGGGTACAATGGAAAATACTATATGTATGAACTAATAATGTGGGCGGGGTGGCCGAACGGAATAACGTGTGTGCACAGCACCGCCCGGGAACTTGATATATGAGTGATTGATTAAAAATAGTCACGAGTTCGCGTCCCGTTGCCGGAAGAGTCTTTTAAATCCCCGCCCACATCCCCTGGCCCGTGAAAACCTCGTATAGCCTTAAAGGCGAGGAAGGGGAGGACCCTCCCCCCCCAAAAAAAAAATCAATGAACTAATAAATTATAAATATATGCATATTTATATAAAGAAGGCTTTATCATGGGCAGCCACAGGGAGTTAGGTCTAGGGGAAGACCGAAGTCGAGATAGATAGACATCGTGAAAGAAGACCTGAGAAAAAACGGCATATCCATCATGTGCGCAGCCAACAGGGATGACTGGGCAAAGGAAATTGAGCAGGCCAAGGACCGCTACCTGCATCTGTTGTGCCAATAATGAATGAATATTTATATACACATATAGAAGTACAATGTGAATAAAAACAAAAATAAAAGAAGTTAAGCGTACATAGAAGTAAAATGTAAATATAAAAATAAGAGACCATACATTACAGAACTAATTGGGGTGGTCAGTCAAAAAGGAAGGCAAAAAATAAATGATAATATTTATTTTTTACATATGCTGTCGTTTCGACCTGAAGTTCAGGCCTTCATCAGGGCTGTCTCCTTAAGTGTTGCAGGGAGAATGGAATAAATATTATCATTTATTTTTTTATTACAGAACTAATTAGAAATATAGAGAGGAAACAAATATGAATAATTATAATTATATTTAACTTTACAGATGTAAGAAAATTACATTTAAATATTAGATAATATTGAGACATAATGGTTAAAAAGTAAAATTAATACAAAGTAAAAACGTATGATCTTACATTGATGTAGAATGTAAATATAAAATTAAAAATAAAAGAGATATCATACAAAGCGGAAATATTTAAAAATAATGAACGATTAAATTGAATTAACCACTAAAAATTGAAAATAGATAAAAAATTATAAGATGTAATAAATAAGTTATTCTTCACTTGTAAGATTTAAAATGTGCCTCTATGTTAAAGAAATGCAGTTTTTATCTACTTCATGATTAACAGAATTCTGTTCCATGTGAATGTGGATGGATTCGGAAATGACTCTTTTTCCATGGTTAGGAACAGTGGTAAGAATAGCTGTTTTTTTTTTTCAAAATCAAATAAATGGTTGAGGGTTAAGACATATTCTGATAGTTGGGGGCGGAAGGGTTCCGGGAATTATAGATATTTTATGTTGGGAAATGCGGGTTTAGAGATGGTTTTTGGTTTCGCCAATATAGGAGCTATTACAATTAGGAGTAGAGCAAGGTATCCGGTAAACTACATCAGATCGGTGTTGTAAGAGTATGGGATCCTTCAAGTTGGTGAAAAGGAAGGAAAGTTTGTTATGGGACTTTAGGCTAAGACTCATGAAGTCAGGTGTGAATTATAGTTTACAAGTATAAAACTCTCTGAATTACCAAACCTCTGTTCCTGATTCTTTAACAATTACTGGGTAAGTTCCATCAATGGAATCCAACACCAATGGACGGCGATTTAATTAGTGTGGCAAGTTCCTAAACTCAATACGGTGATCACTGATGAGCGTCGAAAATCCATCAGATCTTTCCTAAACTCATCGATTGATTAGTGATGAGTTTAGAAACTCGTCCGGTTTAGAAGAGACCAGCTAGATTCTAACAGAAGGCTAAAACTCTTCAAAGTGTTAAGTTTCAAGAAAGTTTCAAAACAAATGAAAAATAATATGAGAAAATACCTTCCCAATGAATTATTGAATTTCAAAATAGAAATAAATATAGACTGCAGTTATAATAAATATAAACATATGATGTAACTGTATAATGTAAATTGATAAATAGCAAAACTGTGGTTATATCCAGCGGACCCATCAACCATGAACACTGATGTAATCGCTAATTGTTTCTAACGATTATAGAAAATATCTAATGGATTTTTAATGCAATCGATGAGTTCAGCACTCAGTTTAGGAACTTGTCCATTATACCACTTTTGAACAAATAGATTTTTGGACATACAGACAGTGACATATTTTGTTTTAGAATAATAAACGTAAGTCACTGGTGGGTCCACGGGTGTGAGGAACTTTCGGTCTGAAAGCTCCCCAAAATAGAAAAAAAACATTTTTTTTATTGATCCATATTTGTTTCTGTGAAGGATCTGAGCTAAATAATCACAATATGGTTTCTTTTTAGATTATAACGCTTAAGCAGCCACTAAATGTAAGCATGTATTTAAACAGTATTATGGAATTTTTAACAGGCCTTCAATGAACCCAACAATAATGCCTCCTGGGCACCTCTGTCCCACTTACACAATTTATTGGTTGCAGTAAATAATCTATGGTAGTCCTGCCATCCCAAATTCAATGAGAAACTAGACAAACAGGAACAAATAACATTGTCCTATAACATCTACGATATTACTATGTATCGTAGAGTCTAGATTTCAAATATATTTAAAGATTTTTCATATAAACAGACAGAAAAAGTGATAATAATTGGGGTAAATGCAAAACTGGGTCAAACCCAGATAACCATAGTCACCTTTCCGAACCATCCTGACCCACTCTGATAAGGTTTTCTGCCTACACCCGGGCTGAGGGGCAATAAACGCAAGTGCATTCTATTAGCATAATGTAAACAGATAGCCAAAACAGAGAAGGACCAAAAATAACTTCAAGCTCGTGCTGGTAATCAGTAAAAAATAATAGAATTAATAACTTGACAGTTCTTTCAATCAGTCCTATTCACAAATAGCGTTCTCCAATAATGATTGTACATACACTGACAGGAAAAAATTCCACCCACTGGATTTTTTTCATCTAAAAATATTTCTACTTTGGATTGGTCTATTGTTTTTAATGAATAAATAGGTAATATTTTTGTTTGTTTTCAATTAGGCATGTTAATATAGAGGACAATAATCCTTAGTCCTTAATTCAATGAAATGATTCTAGATTCCAATGTTTCCAAAATTCCAAAACGAACCATTATTATTCTAAAAGAAATTAATTACATCATCGTTTAGTAGCGCGTGTTTCCTCCTCTTGCCTTCACTACTTCTTGAAGACGCCTCGGCATACTTTCCACCATTCAGGAAATGTCCCTTTGCTGGAGGATAGCTCATTCCTCCCGAAGAGCCCTTTCAAGGTCCTGCAGTGTATCAGGAAGTGTTGCACGCGCTCTTATTCGTCTTCCGAGGTTATCCCATAAATGCTCAATGGGGTTCAAATCTGGAGAACGTGCTGGCCAGGCTAAAACCTCAATATTGTTCTGTTGAAGGAACGTCTGCACTATGAGGGCGACATGGGGGCGTGCATTAGAATAGAACGATCGCCGATTTCGTTGAGGATAGGCAACACAAGAGGTTCCAAAATCTCATCTACATAGCGAATGACCGTCAAAGACCCTCCACGAACAATAACCAATTCTGTGCGGCGCTCCATTGAAATCCCAGCCCACACCATTAAGGAACCACGTAGGAAAGGTTGGCTACAGGCTGCATATCTTTCGTTTCTTCTTCTCCACACCCTTTCACGCCCGTCTGGAGATCGAAGAGCGAATCTTGACTCATCTGTAAAAGGTACAGCACTCCATTCGTCCATAGTGCAATGGCTGTGTTCTCGAGCAAAAGCCAGCCGTGTTACTCTGTGAGTTCTGGTCAACTCTGGTCCCCTTACTGGACGAAAAGCCATTAATCCATACTTATTTAATCTTCTCCGAGCGGTACGTTCAGAAATTTGCACACCTCGAACTTCTTCGAGCTGATGAATCGCTTGAACAACGGTAAGGTGACGGATTCGTATAGTTCTTAAAGTCAAAAACCGGTCATCCCGTGGTTCTGTTACCCTAGGCCGTCCAGAACCGGGCTTTCTATTGTAGGAACCAGTTTCCCGAAAACGCCTGACGGCGTCTCGTAAAGTTTCATATGGAATTCACTGGCATTAGCGGCATATCTAATGGAACGTCCATCATCAATAAGTGCCACACCACGCGCAACATCCTCAGCACTAAGAGGCATTTTTAAACTTAATATTGATAAAATTAAAAGCCGGAGACTAAGAAATGTGCTACAAGAAACGGCACTAAACTAATGATACTGAATAAACATTTTGATTCCATAGAAAGTATACATTGGAATCTAGAATCATTTCATTGAATTAAGGATTAAGGGTTATTATCCTCTATATTAACATTCCTAATTGAAAACAAACAAAAAGATTACCTATTTATTCATTAAAACAATAGACCAATCCAAAGCAGAAATATTTTTAGATGAAAACATGGAAAAATCAAGTGGGCGGAATTTTTTGCCTGTCAGTGTATATATGTTTTGTTGTTTAAAAGTATAAATAGATTACTTTTTGATGAAATCTTAATTCTTTAACATAAAGCCCTGCATGCCATCATTTAGGAAGTTAAATTTCAATCTAGTACATTAGAGCTGGGGGTCTATGATATCTAGCCTCTAAATACATAAGTGATATAACTTTTAAGTAGATAGGTTTCCTTTTAGAACCGATGTAAATACAAATATAAATATTAAATACATTCAATAGGAATATGTACGGTTTCTGGGATCCCCTGTACGCCTTAGAAAGGGGAGTACTAGAAACAGCAATATACAAATATATAATGTTTAAAAATACTTAAAATTTGATCTGATATGTTTGTCTATTCGTTGCTATTACATCATAAAAGATTTTGCAGTAAAAAAATGGTTGTTACTTATAAGTTTTGTGACGGTAACTGTAAGTCGTAGTGTGAAATCATGACCTAGTCACTGCAGAGCACCTTTGCTATCTCAAATAAATTTGCTCACCAAAGCCGAAGAAAATTTCAGGGTAGTCTCTAGTCACCTAGCAACAATTTAAAGTTCGGGTGGTGATTTGGACCTAGTCCCTGCACAACCGTTAGCCTTAAAACAATACTTATCCTAAGCAGTACTAAACCCAAGATCCTTCATTGGTTGTAGTGGGACCGGTTTTTTTTTACGTATCTGTAAGGAAATCATTGATGAATAATTCATCATTTTCCTATAATAAATAGCCACCAATATAGAGAACCTAAGATAACGCTAATTAGACTCTGACAGATAATTAAAATACTGAAAAAGGAATTAAATAGGTCAAAGAAAAAAACAAAACATTTATTCCTTGAGCAGTTTTCAACGGCTGATGTTCAGTTAACATGATTTGAAACTTTTGTTCTGATGCTCTTTTTCTCTTTGGATTTGAGAACGTTAGAAAGATGTTTTTAAATCGATTTCTATCTGTCTAGTTTTGTGCGGGAGGTTTTATTTTCGAAGGTGGAAGTGGTTTTCTGTTTTACTCTAATTTAAAGCTAAAGATTTGATTTTACGTAAAATTAACTTTTATATATGGAGGCTGTTCCAGCCAACCGTTCTACTCGTTTTATAATGGAAGGTGTCGGAACTCGAGTAATTAGAGGACCTGATTGGAAATGGGGGAAGCAGGTTAAGATTTTGTTTTGAATCTTTAATTGTTAATTTCCGTGATTTTTTATTGATGAATAAGGAAAATGGTTTTGAGTTATTAAATTGAAATGTTTATCGTGAACTTTCTGAAGTTTTTTATAGTTTTGAACTGGATTAGTTGTTAAAAAAATAGAAATTTATAATGCTAACAATAAAATTTTGTTGTTTCCAAAGCCATTTGTGTAGAGTTATCTCAATTAGAAGGCTTGTTATTTCCAGGATGGTGGAGAAGGACATGTTGGAACTGTTCGAAACTTTGAATCTCCTGAAGAAGTTGTTGTAGTTTGGGATAATGGTACTGCAGCCAATTACAGATGTGCCACTGATTATGATCTTAGAATTTTAGACAGTTCTCCAACAGGTGTGAAATATTAGTCTGATAATTTAATTTATTAATTATATTTTGGACATTTTGTTATTGTATAATTGTTGAATTTTAATTTTAGGAGTCAAGCATGAAGGATCTCTATGTGACACTTGTCGACAGCAACCGATTTTCGGCATTCGTTGGAAATGTGCTGACTGCTTAAACTATGACCTTTGCTCAACTTGTTATCATTCTGATAAACATTCTTTACGGCATAGATTTCATAGGATTACAGTTCCTGGAGGCGAAAGGTGATTATATGTTCTCGAAAGGTTGAATAATAAGTTTCATAGAAGACTTAGTTATTTGCTTTTGTTAAGTTTCTTTAATAATCTAATAATAAAGAGGTTCCTTAATTGTCTCTATTGAACACTCTTAATTAAGTAACAATAAGTTATATTAATAACCTATGATGATAATGATAATGTAACCCACAAAGCCTTACAAACATCTTAACAACTATAGGAAACATGAGCATGTTCTTTTGATTGCTTTTTAAGCATTATCAGGGATTATTATAGATTCTTATTAGTGTATGGGGTTGGATTTAGTAGTTAACCACATTATATATTGTGTTATTTGCTTGTAAAGCAATATGTTCTCTGTCATAATTTATATTTCGACACATTACATTAACAATCCTCGGTATTGCTTTATTAAATCAGCACATATATATAAAATATATATAAAGATTCTTTAATTTATATATTAAATCCCAAGAAATTAGTCGGGAGATGGCCTACGTTCGTTCATCCATATTATATGTGGGTGTAATATTTATTTGATTGCCTACATTGTAGGTCTTCATGATGACAACAAAATAATTTACATTTAATGATCTGAAAGTCCTGATGAAGACCTACAATGTTCGTAAAAACAAAGATAATGCAATAAATATTACACCCACATATTATATGTGTGACTTTTGAGCATACCTATAATGCTAAAAACCTATGGTGCATACAAAACATGGTTTTTATACTACTGTTTTTTTTTGTTTTTTTTGTGCTAAAGCTTCTATGAGTGGATTACATGTAATGATTTGTAATGATATCTACTTCTAGGACTGAAATATCAAGTTTCTTAGTGATTTCAAGATAATACAAGAGATTATCATTGTTCTTTCCAATAATTTAACCTCTTTGTGACCTCTTAAGCAGTTATGTATATGACTATCTTGCTCAATAATGGCTTTCATTACTTCGTGTCATGATATCTAATGCTTAAATGAAAATATGTAACACTGGGACAATAAAACAATATTTTATCAGAAGTGCTATTAATATAGTGCTTAGTATCATATATCATAACATATTTTGGTATCAGCCACCTTTTTTTTTTTTTTTAAAGGCAAGGCTCGTTTTGTTCTTCTTTCTTATGCCTATGTATGTTTCACTGTATAGAGAAACAGTTAGATAAGCTTTATATATGACTCTCCACAATTCTGTGGACAACTAATGTGTATATTTATTCTACCATAAGTAATGTGTTCATAATGAATAAAAAACCATTATAATATCTTTTCAACAATGATGGGATGATTAAAGCAGTTCTATTTCTGTTCATATATTTTCACAGAACTCTCCAATCAAATGTTGCTGCTCTTTCATTATTATTTTTTTTTAAAGCCATATCTATGAATTTTTATCAATTTGCTAGGAAATCTTCTATTTCTGATAAATAAAGATACGCATTATTATAGCTTTTGGACCGAAATGTATCTAATTACTTAAGATTTTTTGTTGTACAGTTTTTATACATTGCTGGTATGATTTTATTTTATTTGCATTTGAGATTCATTAAATTTATTTATTATTATTAAAATTAGAGTCATGGTGGAAACAAGAAGAAAAAGTAAAAAGCTAGTTGTCAGAGGAATATTTTCTGGAGCTCGTGTTGTTCGTGGTGTTGATTGGCAGTGGGAAGATCAAGATGGAGGTAATGGCAGGCGAGGAAAAGTACATGATTTACAAGACTGGTCTGCTGCATCACCCCGATCAGCTGCTTACGTTGTCTGGGATAATGGTTCTAAAAATCTATACAGAGTTGGCTTTGAAGGAATGGTAAGGTTTACTGAAGTATCTATTTAACATTTAGTTACAAATTTGGATACTAGCTTTGAACAGAGTTATTCAAATATTGTTTCATTTTTAATTGAAATTTAAATTTTCCATGCCTGTCATGTCATTATTTCATGTTTCGCCATCACATTTGCTGATTGTCAACAATAAGTTGACAGGCGCCAATACATTTTTTTTTTTTTTTTTTTATATTTGGGTTTTATACAACTTAAGGAGTCATATCCCCAACACCCAAAAGCCACTGCTCCCTGTCCATCCAATCTCCTTCACGAAGCCCTCTGGCTGCCATGCTTTCCTCCACGTCCTCTGTCCATTTCTTCTTTGGCCTTCCACGCTTCCTTCTTTCAGGTGGCATATAGTTATAAATTTTCTTTGGCCAGCGGTTCTCATCCATCCGCATTAAGTGGCCATACCACTTTAGCCGTTTGGTCCCGATCAGGTGAAGGATGTTCTTTTGACATCCTACCTTGTCTCTAATAGCTGCGTTTGGAATCCGCTCGATTCTAGATATGCCACAGCTTCTCCAGAAATCCATTTCCATGGAAAGCAACTTATTTTCCAACTTTTTTGTCAGTGTCCAGACTTCTGATCCGTAAGTGGCTACGCTTTCTACAAAGGAATGGTATATCTTCTTTTTAGTTTCTAATCTTATTTCTTTACTCCATAGGGTTGAATTTATCGAACTTATTATTCTTTTCCCATTATTTATTTTATGTTCGATATCAACCTCACTACCACCCTTTGAAGATAACCAGTATCCGAGGTACTTGAACTGCTGGCTGACATTTAGCGTCCAGTCATCAATTTCAAGGGGCAAATTTGGAGCGTTGAAAACCATATACTCTGTTTTACTTTCACTGATTTTCAGACCCCATCTGGAATACGTGTCTAGTAACTTCCTCATCATATAGCTAACATCATCCGGATCCGATGATTATGACTTGATCATCGGCATACTGCAAATTGTAGATGACATCATTCCCGATTTGAACACCCATTCCACAGCACGATCTTTTCCAGTTTTTAAGGGCTTGTTCTATGTAAATGTTGAAAATCAGGGGTGAAAGGCAGCAGCCCTGTTTCAATCCTTTGTTAATGAAGAAGCTTCTAGACACTCTATCTCATATTTTTATAGCCCCCTTTATATTTTTATAGAGCTCTTGAATTGCTCTGATGAGGTATCTCTTAATAGATGTGGCTTCCAAAGCTTTCCACAATTTCGCTAGAGGTACTGAATCATACATTTTTTAAAGACAAAAAAAAAATTGAAATTTTACAGTTACATTTGTTTTTAGTTAAATTTTTTATTATTCGTATTTATATCAATATGTATGCTTGTTGATGCGACAAATATTAATAAAGTTATGATTGTTGCTGTTCCTTTGCTATCTTGAAAACATTCCTTTTGAAAAAAGGTTCCTGTTGATGAATTCCCATTTAAATGTTATCAATTTGTGTTAGGATAGAATTGAAAAATGATCTTTATTCAAGACCAAGTTACCAAGGCATAAGAACAATGATTAAAAATCAGTGCTCATGGTATAACTGTGAGGTACTTTTATGATAAATGATCTGTTTAAATTTATATTTGATCAATGGGTTGAAATATAAGGTGATAGAGAAATATTTGAATTTGTAGAAAGATAGGAAAGCATTAATTGGTTGTGTTGTAATATTCAGGGTGTGAATAAAGGAATAGCAGACCGAATAAGGAGTTCAAGAATAGTTTATTGTTTATTTATAGATGTAAGAAAGGTTTAGGATAAGTGAAAACCAAGAAAATATTGACATTAGAGAGAAGGATGGATTAACTATAACTCTGTATTATAGCTGGCGATGGGATATGTGTGGGAACTCCAAAGAGAAATCTTATAAAACAATTCATAAGATCTGATGAGATTCATAAGACTGCCTCACGCAGTGCCACATCCTACGCCCTGAAGACGACCTGCAAAGTGGGTCGAAACGTCGGCAAAAGTTAAAATAATTTATATATTTTAATTTTTTTATTTATTTAACCGCACCCTCGACTAACTCCTTCTCAAATTCATAAGATCCTTTAATAAATTAATGGAATTGATGTGGATAGCTTTAGTTTTGCCGACTTTCAGCTGCAACTTGTTTATTTCAGCCTTTTGACAAATTCATTATTACAATACCATCTTAGTAATCGAGTGTAATGGATAGAATCGGGGTAATCATTTATTTTTATAATGGATAACAAGGTTGGTGAAAGGAAGGATCACCATTCAAGAGGAAATGAGAGTATAAAGGAGTTTATTTAAGGATGACCTGTGATAGATAAAAAAGAATGAAACCATTTTAAAGTCCTATTGAATTAAGGACAAGTTATGGAGGGAGAATAAGAGAATCTCATGATCAACCGAATGAAATGTTATGGAAAATCATATTGGATCAAGATTATAATTTTCTGTTAATCAGTGAAAGATTTTATGTCTTGTGTTTAATGTCTTAGTAAGATGGATTGAGTGGAGTATCTGAAAATATATAAAAGGAAATGTGATTGAAAGGGATTTAGGAAAGTGCTTTGTTCAATGTATACGTGAAGTTGGTAATGGACCAATATTTTTAAATATTTTTGTAAAGAGCTGAAAAAAAAGAAATAGCTCAGAAGTTTGGGTTTTTTTACTTTCACTTATCTATATATGTAATATATAGTAAGTGTAAGTATTGCAATCGTAAAGATTTTTATAAAAAAAGACCATTGTTTGTTTAGAAGGCGTATGAAGACCTTTTTTTTGGCTGTAAGATGGTTATGTGGGAGGAGAAACATAAATAATTGATTATAAATTTGCTAATTTTTACAGATACCACAAGTACTATAGTTTAATGTTATAGTGCAAAGATGTCCATTAGCTTCTGTAAAATATGGTTCTTTTTAATTTTATCATCTTTAAGAAAGATGATAAAATCAAAAATGAAATATTCAGACAACACAATAAAATAATATATTGACACCCACATTGCAAAAGCCTGTAACAATAAAATCTAAAAGTGTTCAGGAGACGAAAAAAACTGCATAGTTCTTATTTTATGAAATTTATAATTTCTGTTCAATTTTTTTTGCAGGCATAAGGCAAAGATGAGTTGCACAATGTAATGTTTTTTTTTTTTCATATTTCTGCATTAGTCATTTACAGCCAGTTCTCTAAATTACAGGAATTTACTTTTAACTTACAGCTTTTTAGGTACATTAGAAAATAGGTATTAGTAAAGTAAAATCAACCGAATTTAAGTTTAGATGGACCAATAACTTTGTTAATAATGCTCAACTCATGATAGAAGGGACAGTGCCATACCGGCTTTCATTTCTCACTTTTAATGCCTGAGTTAAGCCGAAATTTTGTATCGTTGACGTCCTGCTGTACTTATTCCACATCGCTGACTAGAGCTTCTCGGTTTTTTTTTATGTATGAAGATATGAAATTCAACTTTATGTCAAACGTGCATAAAAATTGTGTTTGGGATACAGGCTATCTCTCTATCAGGTTTGAGGTGACATTTTAGCATTTGACCATTTCTGCTTACTCGAGTCTCCTTGTGATTCATTAATTTGAAAACATCCAGCAACAATAAAGCTAGGTTTGTTTTTCCTTCATCGTTAATTTTTCCCAATAAATTAAATTAATTTTTTCTCTAACACTTTCTGGAATGCGGCGGCACTGTAGTTTTTTTCCTGCCTGATTCAATTTTTAGTTATTTTGAGGTTTTAATTGTTTTGAAAGTCATTCAGTATTAAAATTCCACTTACCACTTTCTTCTTTGCTTTGTCTAGTACCATGGAAAGCCTCCCCATTTTCCCTTTTTCTCTTCTGGCTCATCCTCATGTTTCAAGTTTATCTGAACATGTTTCTATTTTTATGTTTTTTCTGATGATTCTTCAGTCTACTGTTCATCACCTCAAATTCTCTATAATGCATCCCTTACTGGCTCACCATCTCTTTTACTTTGGATTTCTTAATAATCAGCCAAATACTATCCATTTCTGATACATTCTACTGTGTTGTCATCACTAAAGTTACAAGAAAAAGGAAACTGATATGCTTCAATTTCATGGTCATAATTAATATCTCATAAGAAAATAAAGGAGTCAACTTAATAGTAGGAGTCAACTTATCAACTAATACTGAATCTAACTTGACTACAAGATACTTAATAAATACTATCCTAAAAAGGCTAATAAATTATACTTAATCCTTGATAATTATATGATTGAATGAAAGTCAATCTAATAAAGAATTCTGATACTTTAGAATAAGCCCAAAAAGCTTTATCTAATGCATTTACTTGACTACTTTTTATTGAGCATTTAATTGCATTTGTTTTGATAACGACAAAATCTCTATAACCTTCACAGGAACTTCCAGATTTTTACTTCATGATTCATAAGTTTTTAAAATACAGGTTTTTACAAGAGAAGAAATGAAACATCGTTGGTTTCATTTTGTGAGGTCAAAATATACGCTAGACCAAGAGTTGATCAGAAAAGCTAATAACCACACTTTTCAATAAAATTGTTTGTGTAGGCTTTTGCAGTATGGCTGTCAATATATTTAATTTTTAATATGACTTATAGCTCATTCTAAAAAAAAGTCATTTTGGTTTTCTGACAGGATAACTAAGTCGGAATTTTTCAAATTTTTCAATTTTTCACCACCAATTACTTTTCACTTCATACAACTTTGGTGTAAAATCTCCCACAAGTGGACATTGGATATGGGAACTTAAGTTTTTTTCAGCACAATAGCCAATCAATGGCAACCATAATTATCTTAATGATTTATTTTTAGACAAGGAAGTATAATTGAAAATTGTTTTTTCTTCTTACTTTTACAGGCTGATTTGAAGGTAGTTAATGATGCCAAAGGACCTTCTGTCTATAAGGAACATCTCCCTCTTCTTGGCCAACAGGGTTCAGGAAAAAATGGACCTCATGGTCTCCAAATCGGTGATCAGGTAATTAGTTTTTAGTCTTCTCTTCTATTCAAGATTTATGGAGAAAAAAAAAAAAATGTCTCTTCATAACAATATTATAAAGTGTTTCTTTAATATAGAATAGGTTTTTATGTATATTGTCCTATTTTCTTCCTTTAATTTTTTAATAAAAAGCTTTGATTATATGATGAAAAACTACTTAAATTGCATTATCCATAGCAGTACACTCGGTATAATTAGTGCAGTAACCAACCTGGCCATTCTCATTGCAGTGATTTTTCTCTGTTGTGCTAGACTAATATTTAAACTAAAATGTCAAAATCAATATTTTGGAGTGAATTTGAACTTAGATCAATTCAAGTTAATCCATTCAATCTATTTTTAAGAAATACTTTATTTTTAAAGCCCCAAAAAGGTTTATAAATTCATGACTGTTGCTTGTCCATAGTCAATAATGTGAGATTGTACTACAGTTATTAAAGTATTTGTTGGAAAATTTACATATTTATCACCTAGAGTATGTAAAAATTATCATAACAAACAATTACCATGAAAACCTACTTACTTTACAAGGAATTCTTAAAATTATATTTTTCTCTTTGTTCTTTGTTTTGGTTACATGACTGTCACAATAACTAGTTATTTTTATAATTTACATCCAGAAAGCACTTTTGGAACTTGCAGTTGCTTTCAGTAAGCAGGAAGACTGTTGTCTTTATAAGTGATGTGTTTGATCTACATTTTAACAGTGAATATTTCACAGATTTTTATCATATACTTAAGTTAAATTTCTTGTGGTTATTGTCACTAATACCTGTCTCGCTTTTTTGAAAATCCATATGTATTCTTAAAGCTGCAGGGTCTCTATGTTTGATTGTATTGAGATATACACTACTGATCAGTCAAAATGGCTATTAAAGGTTGGATTCTGTATATGCTAAAATATTAAATTATTGAAGGTTCCTCACGACATTAAGTGATAGTCTTGAATACAGGTTGGTGGTTGTAAATGTTGAATGTAATTTATCCGTTACAGCTTTTGTTTGTAATTGTTGTTAGTTTTTATTTATTTTTCTAATTATTAAACTAAATAGGTTTTTATAAAATAAAATATTAATTTTCTGCTGGCTTTAAATAGTATTTGTCATTTTGTTGGGTTTTACTGCAATAATTAATAACACCAAGAAAAATGGATTATTTATTTATACTCATGTTTAGCAATGCTATTACTTATATTGGAGAGTCATCTTTATTTGAAAACATTGAAGTATTGTTTAAAGAAAGAGTGCAGGTAATGAGTATGAATAAAATATTTTAAAAAAGTGTAAACAGAAAAAAAATTGACCCCAAAATATATTAAAAAATTGAATCTTATATGTTGAAAATATATTATAATATGTATTCATCAACTTAAAAATTATTTATAAAAAAATATTCACAAAACTATTTTTATTGGCTTAGTTTCTGCCAGATAGATATTAAAATTGAATTTTTAATATTTTAACTATGCTAATTTATTAATGAAGATTTTATATGCTAACATTTTTTTTTCGTAACTATTATGTTATTTAAATACACATTAAATATTTTTAGGTTAAAGTAGATTTGGAACTAGAAATCGTCAAATCATTACAACATGGGCACGGTGGTTGGACTGATGGAATGTTTGAATGTCTGGGAGTAACTGGTGTCATTGTTGGCATTGATGAAGATCGTGATATTGTTGTATCTTATCCTTCAGGCAATAGGTGATCTAATTGGATTTTTTTATTAAAATAAAAATTTAAATACAATTTAAACACTAGAATTGTTAGTTAATTTTGATATGAATTGAATGTAAATATTTGTTGGTCAACTAATTGTTTGTATTCTTATTTAACCTGATTTATTAATAATTATTTTATTGTTCAAAACATGCTAAAGATGAATATAGGAACATTTTTTTTGACATAGATGGACTTTTAATCCTGCTGTTTTAACGAAAGTTCAAACTACAAGTACGCAACAGAACTCCCAGTTTGCAGTTGGTGACATTGTACAAATATGTAGCGATTTAGAAAGAATAAAAATATTACAAAAAGGTCATGGAGAATGGGCTGCTGCTATGACTCCTGTAAGTAGTTGTTGTTAAAATATTATAATTATATTATTTTGGATATAAACAAATAATTTATACAATGATTCATTTTTATGTTTTATTTACTCATATGTATAGACTTTGGGGAGTATTGGGAGAATACAACAAATATATCATGATAACGATCTGAAAATAGAAGTTTGCGGCACCTCGTGGACATATAACCCTCTTGCTGTGACCAAAATTTCCTGCCCATCTGGAGGTAAGTTGAAAAATTGCTTTAAAATTATTGCTATTTTAGGTGTTCATAATATAAAATACAAATATACAAATAAATGTGTATTTTTATATTGCATTTTAGATCGTTTGAGTGCTATTCTGAAGAAAATTTTTGAAACTCACTCAACTGGAGATGTAAATCTAGAGCTTGTGAAATCTGCAGCAAATGGTGATGTTCAAAAGTGTGATGAAGTTCTCAAACGAAAAGATGCAAATGTAAATGGAATGTTTGGTGGCCATACAGCTCTGCAAGCGGCTAGCCAAAATGGGCACCTTGATGTAGTAAAACTTCTCCTTAAACATAATGCTGATGTTGAAATTGAGGTAATGTATTTATTATTTTACATCAATTAAATATTACTTAAATGGTATTATTTCTATTTTAATTGACATTTATCTAGTTTAGAAAGTTAGAGTAAAAAACACATTATTAAGGGTTAGAGTGCAAACCCACAAGTTAATAAAACTTTCTAATTTAATACTTCAACTTAAAATTTAAATTAATATTTTTACCTTTGCTTACTTGTTTTACATATGTATCAATGTGTGTATTCATATTACAAAACCTTGTGTTTCTTCATTAATAACAAATTATTTTAGCTGTAATCCTCCAATATCTTTATGTTCCTGTAATAAGTTCAGTATCTAGATGATCAAAATGTTCCCCAAATTCAACTTAATAACTATTTGGTTCACTTCTATCCTTATTGACCTCCTTGACGGAATTTATGCAGAAAAATGTAATTTATTTTATGCTAAGTTACACCTATTTGAAACATTTATGTTCTTGAAGAAGACAGCAAACCTTTTTTTGTAATAACTCTTAGAGATCAAGAGTCACCAAAATATGACCCACAAGCATCTTCAATCTGACCCGCGAAAGTTGCTTTTTTTTACTAGATTTTAAAAATATAAAATTTAGTAGTACATCTCTCTAACACAAGATTCCTACAATATTAATTGCATGAGCTATATTTCGGTTTTTATATTTCTTCTATGTTTCTCAGAACAAATATGGCGATAGAGCGATTCACCATGCTGCATTTGGTAATGAACCTGCTGTTATTGAGTTATTAGCCAAAGCTGGTGCTGATCTTAATATCCGTAACAACAGAAGGCAAACACCATTGCATATTGGGGTCAATAAAGGCTATTATGGTGTCGTGAAAACTCTTCTGAAGTTGGGCTGCCATCCAAGTCTTCAGGTTAGTGCTTAACCTATTTTTTTATAATTTATTGCACACACACACACTGATATCATGGTGGATAAAAAATTCTTAGATATGCTTTAATTATTGGCAGAAATTATATATGGTATCAGTGCCATTCTCATCTAATTGTTTTGACATTCCTGATTTATTATATATAGGGTTTAAAACAGGAAAAAGAAAAAAATATTTTAAAAAAGTTCTGGTATCATTGGAAGTTTTATTATTGATAGTTTTTCAGTTCTTTTGTAATTGAAACTTTTTTCCAAGAAAATTTTTTAATTAACGTTTTTATAAAACTTTTATTTACAATTTCTGTCTGAGCAATTCATTTCTACAAGAAGTAAATCTAAAAATGGTAATTGTAAATGGCATTTTAACTACTCAAAGAAAGGAAATGTTACTTCTTGTTTCTACGATTCTCTAAATTCAAATTTTTTTCCTTAATATTCAATGATACTTTTTACGAACTCAAATAAATAAAAGTTATATGTTTATGATAAATTTAGAACTTTCTTGAAAATTATAAAACTTTTATTTCAAAAGAGTTCTTTTGAAACTTTTAAAATGAAATTTAAAAAAAAAGTTTCAACCCCGGACTATATGTCTACCTATTTTTTATGTTTTCAAATTCAGTTTTCGCTAACTGGACTTTAGAAAAAGGTACTTTCAGATGATTTTGTTAGCATGAAAAACTTGTTGAACTAGATTTTGGATGGTTTTGAAACAGAAAGACAGTATAAATTATGATGGTGAAGATAATATTATTGCACAAAGAATGCTCCTTAAAACAGTATGACCACAATGTTCTTAATTAAGAGATTTGGTCAGAATGATGTGTTAAGGACATTTTGGCATGTCAATGAAGCAAATAAAAAAGTTTTGATGTATAGTTATTTGTTTTATTTTATACTTATCTTTGAAAATCCTTATTTTAGGTATGTTTGTTATGAGATGTGTGAAAAATTCTTCAACAAGACACGTTTTTTTTAATTGATTAGTCACAATTATGATAGGAATTAACATTTTATACTCCTATCAGTGAAAGTTGCTTTCAATATCCTCTTAGCTTTAAAAGGTTATATTTTTAATTTTAAAAGGTTAGTTTTTAATTCGGCTGTCTAGAAATTGTTAATTCAGTTGTAACAAAATAGTTGTTTTGTGAAACAAAACTTTTTAAAGAAATATGCACCCGGCTGAGAGGTATTCTCAGAAAATGAAACCCGTTCCAAAAGTATTAACGTGAAAGAAAGAAAGAAATTTACTTGAGATTCCGGAGATTCGAAAACAACCACCACTCAATGATTTTTTATTTTCAAGGCGTTCAGACCATAATCAGTTGATTCTAGAATGGACTCAATAAAATTAATAGTTTATGAAAGTACAATAAAAATTTTCAAAATTAATTATCTGATGAAATATAACCCAATGAAATTACCAAAAATGACTAATTATGATTCAATGTTATAACAAAATTAATTATAAAATGAAATACAATCAAAATCACCAATTAAGTTACTAAATTATATTATTAATAAATATATGTGGAAAAAGCTAATTGTACAATTCAACAAAATTTTTTTTTTCTTTTGTTTTATGTACAGGCTTAAACCATCCGGGTCATTATCGCCTTATTTTCATTATTAATTAAATTTTGTTGTCAAGTTTTGAATATTTCAGAAAATAAAAGGGTTTTTCAACTTCATTCATATTGTCCTGTAAAATGATGTGTAGATTGTATGTCAAGTCATAAGATAGTCTAAGTGTTTCATAAGCTCTGCATTCTGTTAAAATGTGTTTCACTGTCAGAGGAGTCCCACAAGTTTGGCATGTGGGCAAAGAATCACGGGCCATGAGGTATCTGTGGGTCAGACATATTCACATGCGCGTAAGAATTACTTTCTCTTTGCGTTTATTCCTATTTGACGATGCTTAAGAGGAACTGTTACACTTAATCTCCCTCAGTTTATTTTCGGTGACACTCGACCACATCTGTTCCCATTTTGTCTTTATTTTCTGTTTAATGGTGGTTATAAAATCCTCAACAGGTACTCCCCGATAAGGAATTCCATCAGTAATGGCTTTTTGGCAGCGCGATCAGCCAGGTCATTACCGGCTATTCCGCAATGCTCAGGGACCCAGACAAAAAAATACTGATATATTATTTCTATTTGCTGACTTTATTGAGTACAGAATGCTTTGTATGATTGATGACATTAGTTGAGAAAACATTACATATCTTAAACAAGAAACATACATTTCTTAGACTAATTAAGGTGGATAGAGAATCTGTGCAGATGACCAGTTTTTTTTTAGTAGGCTGTATAACATAAAACTTTTGTGTATTGCAAACAATTCAGCAGTATGATTAATACATAGTGGTGACAGAAAAAAATTATGTTGTCGTTCGTTACATATAACTGATGCTCTCATGCCTGCGAAGCTATTCGAGCCATCAGTGTAGATAAAGTCAGAATCACCTAGTCTTTCTTGAAGTTTGAGAAATTCCTGGTTGTATATGTATAAGGCATTGTATTATTTTAAATAAATTTTGTGAGAGAAAGAAGAATTTTTGGAGCGGGAAGAAGTGTAAATTGGTGTAACTCGTGTTTCTAGAAAAGTAGGAATTTTAATATGTATATTATTTAGTCAAGTTGGAACTCTGATTGTAAAGGGTGTTCTATTTGGTAAGTGAGTTTGTTGTTGATTAATGTATTGTACATTTGGAAATAAATCAGTCAGTGGATAGTTAGAAGCAGAACGGATCTTAAAAAAATAAATGAGGTGAAGTTGTCTTCGTATGTTGTGCAAAGGCTTTCCAGGTTTGACACATAGGCTATTTGCAGGGCTGGATCAGAAAGCACCCAGTAGCTATTCTGAGGGCACAGTTTTGCACAGGATCTAGCATTTTTAAATGGTACTCGATGCTAAGTTGTAGGCATTACAGCCATAGTCCAATTTCGATCTTATTAGTGTCATGTACAGTGTTAACATACTTTTTCTATCGGCACCACAGCTGGTGTTACCGACCATTCAACAAACTTTGTTTTATTCAATGATAATGAGACATAGTATTATCAGACTTTTTATGAAGTTCTTCTCTGTTTATACTTGTAAAATTTTCTAGTAATTACAATTTTAGTAATTTTTTCCACTGGTTTTGCTGTTAAATGGTGCATTAATATGAAAGAAAATAACAATCTGTTGTAATTTTTGATATTGTGGTAATTTTAACGCAATAATCATTTAAAATTAATCATTAGTTGTAGTATTAATGGTTTTGCGAGGTCTTAGCAGGTGACCATTGATCATATCCTTCTAATTCTACCAAGCGCTGAGGTTATCTAATCCTACCAAAGCTTCTTTCCATTGCTGCTTGCCCTTGCTATCAATGTTGATGGCTCGCTTGGATCTATCTATGATCTTTGATGTTTCAGATTCTCAAAATAAATCCAGTTTCATTTCTTGTCACAATTTCATGGGAAAATGATTTTCTTTAGTATCCGGTGAGCAGCACTTTGGAGTTGGTTTTCAAGTTTCTTGCTGTCTTTCATTAAGTTCATTTAGAACCCATTTTCCCACCTTATCTATCTTTTACTTGGCTTTCAAATGTAGGGAGACAGCTTCTCATGTTACATTCAATTGATCTCGAAGTTGTTGTTTGGTTAAAGTTTCATCCTTATCCAACAATGCTTGCAATTTGCTGTCTTCAAATCTTTAAGGTCTTCTTCATTCTTCATGTCAAAACTGCCACTTTTGAATTTTTTTAAACCACTCTTAGCACTATGATTTACTAATCATTAGAGCTTCAATAATCATTCTATGCAATTTTGAATTAGTTTTCTTTAAATGGTAACAGAAATCAAGAACTCAACATATTCAACACTATCGACACGATGCTGTTATATGAAAATTGTATTGTTATGAGTTGAAAATCTTTACCAGTTGTCCAAGAAACAAAATGGCACCAATAATGTGATTTAATGGTAGCTACAGTAACAATTAGAGCCATCAATGGACGAATTCCGTTTTCATATTTACATACCTGGTACATCATTACACTCTTGGTCTCAGCAGTAAATTGACTAGGGTTTTGATACTATTACTGGTGGGGGAGCTAGTCCAGCAAGTGGGCCTTGCTATCCGTTTTCCCAACTGCTGACAGCTATCTAGAAGTTTCCTCCATGTACTGACCAGAGTGGAATATTCAAGATTCATTTTGGAGGCCCTGAGAAATAGATGTTAGTTGACCCAGGTGGGGATCAAACTCAAAGTTCAGAGATGGGCACTCTGAGACCCTTACTACAATGTGCTTGGCTATCTCTTCCTCACATTGTCAGGGGACTGAATTTAAACTGAATATTATTGTAAAATAAACAGATGAAAGGTGGAAGAGGGTAGATTTGAAAGAAAACATAAAATTTATAGCCACTATATTAAATCCCAGTGCTATTAAAAAAACCTTAACTTTGATTCATCACTATTATTTGATTCAAGACATTCCTAACCTCTGGAAGCAGAGTGGCTCAGTGAATAAGACACCATCCTCTTATCTTATTTATGTGGAAGAGAATTATTTATTCTTATATAGCTGTGTATCGACTCTGGAGTAAGAATGGGTCTTCATGGGCTCACTCATTCTCTTAAAAGCGGACACCCTTAATTGACAAAAAACATGGTGGATGAATGTAATTTATGCCAAATCACATTCTTCCACAACTGTTGGCCTACAAATGGTACTTCTATAGAAAGTACTGAACCCAAAACTCTTCATGATTTGTACTGGTACAGGTTTAAACAAATGAAAATTTGGCATTTTTGTACATATTCACTCTATGTCGACTGATGGTTAATCATACCAGCAAATTAGTGGTAAAAAACTTGTGAGTAAATACTAAGGAAGGACCCTTGTTGCCAGGATCAAAACATAAAAAAATCTCTGTTGTATTACTTTAATTTGCGGGTGTTCAAAATTGTTCTATCCCCGACACTGAATAAACTCTCTTGTTTATTCAAGTACAGAAGAACCCCT